TATTTTATTTTTGTTACAGATGTTTCTCCTTTTTCCCTTATTGACACCCTCCTCCCAATCCCGCCCCTATCCCCAGCATTATTGTCTATGTCCTTGTTTACACATGCATGTATATAAGTTCTGTGGTTTATCTCTTCCCTCCCCCAACATCCCCCTCTTCTGAGCTTTGTCAGTCTACACCCCACTTCCATGTCTCTGGGTCTATTGTGTTCCTCAGCTTGTTTTGTTCATCACATTCCAAAAATGAGTGAGATCATGTGATACTTGTCTTTCTCTGATTGGCTTATTTTGCTTAACATAATACTTTCCAGGTCCCTCCGTGTCATCTGTCTCAAAGGATAAGAGATCTTTCTTTCTTACAGCTGCATAGATTTATCCATTGTGTAAATGTACCACAGCTTTATTATCCACTCATCTCCTGATGGACACTTTGGTTCTTTTCAGAACTTAGCAATTGTAAATAGTGCTGCTATGAACATAGGGGTACATATATTCTTTCTGATTGGTGTTTCAGGCTACTTAGGATATATTCCTAGAAGTGGGATCACTTGGTCAAATGGCAGTTCAACTTTTAATCTCTTGAGGAAACACCATAGTGTTTTCCATAGTGGCTGCACCAGTCTGCATTCCCACCAGCAGTGTGCTAGAGTCCCCTTTTCTCCACACCCTTGCCAGCACTTGTTTGATGATTTGTTGATGGCAGCCCTTCTGGCAGGTGTGAGGTGATACCTCACAGTCATTTTAATTTGCATCTCTCTGATAATTAGTGATTTTGAGTATTTTTTCATATGTCTCTTGGCCATTTGTATGTCCTTTTTGAAGAGGTGTCTGTTTAAGTCCTCTGCTCATTTTTTAATTGAATTCTTTGTCTCCCTTTTGTTGAGTTGTATGAGCACTCTACATATTTTGGAAATTAACCCCTTATATGATTTATCATTGGCAATTATAATCTCCCATATAGAGTTCCCTTTCCATTTTGATGGTTGTTTCTCTTGCTGTGCAGAAGCTTTTTAGTTTGATGTAGTCCCATGTGTTCATTTTTTCCTTTGTTTCTGTTGCCTTAGGCACTGTATCAGTGAAAATTCTGCTGTGTGTGATGTCTGAAATTTTGTTGCCTACATTTTCTTCTAGGATTTTTATGGATTCTACTCTTACATGAAACAGTCGAAAATTCTGCTTCATAAGCTGAGACTATTGTTACCTTTGGACTCATAAAATTCCTTCCTATATATACCTCATGTGGCATTTTTCTTCATCTTATTTAATAAAACAGAGCAGCAGACTGGACGTAGATGTGGAATCCAGCTGTCCCCTAGTAAGCTAGATAGTTCAGATTTTCAAACAAACAAAGCTTCTCTTCTCATTAAAATTGTTTTGAAAAATGTGTCCTTCCATAATTGTTATTTAATATGTATTATTTTTAAATAAATTCTTTAAATTTAGTATTTTCTTTTTTTTGGTACATGCCCCTAGCAGAAACCGAACCCAGGACTCTCTAGTCCGTAGGCCGACGCTCCAACCGCTGAGCCAAAGTGGCCAGGGCAACATTTTCATTTCCAATGAGTAAATACCAGTAGACATAACCTACACATACAAACTCTGGGGTTCTCATTCTAAGAGTGCAAAGGGACCGTGAGACCGCCAGCTCTGTGAGCTGGGTATGAATGTGAGCTGTCACTGGGTCATGGGTTTGCGGGAGGCTCTTTAGCTTGAATGTACTCTGGACCCTACTCCTTCGTCAGTTAAGTGCATGGCAAACGCTTCTCCCAGGCTGGCGCTCGTCTTCCTACTGCCAGTGCTCAGCGTCCTGCAGGGGTCTTCATTGGACCGAATCCTGTTTTCCCGGGGTGGTGCACTTCTGCTAAAGATACTGCTCCTGGTCTAAAATGGGGAGAGACTCACTGGGCCTTACAGAGAACTCCGGCTGTGGCACCAACGGGGAGAAAATGGAATTTCCCTTTAATGAGATCAATATAAAATATGAGCTTATATAGACATAATAAATGTTTGTTTTTCCTCAGAAGTAGATTAGGAAGGAAATTTCTATTAAACTTAATGCACATTTAATTTAACATGTATACTTCTGTCTAAAAATATTTTAACTGCAAAAAATTAAAGTCATTTAAATTTTTTTTTATCCTCACCTGAGGTTATTTTTCCATTGATTTTAAGATAAGCATGAAAGGGAAGAAAAAGAGAGGGGGAGTGAGAAAGAGAGAGAGAAAATCAGTGTGAGAGAGACACATCTATTGGTTGCCTCCTGCATGAACCTGACCAGGACCAAGGATCGAACCTGCAACCCAGGTACATGCTCTTGAACCCACAACCCTTCAATCCGCAGACTGATGCTCTAACCACTCAGCAAAACTGCACAGGGCAAATTTTGGAATTATTTAAATTCAACATTTTGTATAAAGCTTTTATATTTAAAAATCACTTTCATATATACTATTTTATTGACCTTCAGAATAATTCTGTATGATGAACGGGGACAGTATTATTATGCTAAGAACTGTGACGGAGAGAGAAGTTAAATAATCTTGCAGCATCATGCACACAGGATCAGACATGAGCTCTAACTTCCAATCACAACTAATGAAGATCCCTTAAAAATTATTGCTGATTTTTGTCAATCAGAATAAAAGTGACAAGTAACCAAAATCAATCCTCACATGAAGCAGAAACAAATTAAATACCTGCATGGTTGGTACAGGGGCAAGCAAGGAAGGTCTGAAGGACATTTGCAGGACATTCTCAGCCTTTCAAGATGATGTCATACTTTTTACTGCACAATAACAAGTGACTAATATGCCCGCCTGTTCATTGACATTCCTGTGTCATAATTACAGGCATTCATCTAGCTCAATTAGAGGACGGGGAGTGTCAGGTGGGGCCTGGGAGGAAGAGGCAAAAGATGGAAAACTGACCAGTATTTCCCCTGAAGGGAACAAGAAAGAGGGGGGTAAACAAGTAGGAGGAATTAGTGACAGAAGTTAGACAGACATAGGAAGGAAGAAGGTAAAGAAATAAATATATCTCTAAATGATGGGACTACATCAAACTCAAAAGCTTCTGCACAGCAAAAGATACAATCATCAAAACGGAAAGGCTACCCACTGTATGGGAGAGCATAATTGCCGATGATATATCAGATAAGGGGTTAATTTCCAATACATATAGAGTGCTCATACAACTCCACAAAAGGAAGACAAAGAATCCAATTAAAAAATGGGCAGAGGAACTAAATAGACACCTCTCCAAACAGGACATACAAATGGCTAAGAAACATATGAAGAAATGCTCATCATCACTAATCATCAGAGAGATGCAAATTAAAACAACAATGAGGTATCACCTCACACCTGTCAGAATGGCCGCCATCAACAAATCATCAAACAACAAGTGTTGGCGACGGTGTGAAGAAAAGGGGACTCTAGTACACTGCTGGTGGGAATGCAGACTGGTGCAGCCACTGTGGAAAACAATATGGTGTCACCTCAAAAAATTAAAAATTGATCTTCCATTTGACCCAGTGATCCCACTTCTAGGAATATACCCTAAGAAGCCTAAAACACCAATCAGAAAGAATATATGTACCCCCATGTTTGTAGCAGCACTATTTACAATTGCTAAGATCTGGAAACAGCCCAAGTGTCCATCAGTAGACGAATGGATCAAAAAGCTGTGGTACATATACACAATGGAGTACTATGCAGCCGTAAGAAAGAAAGATCTCTTATCCTTTGAGACGACATGGAGGGACCTTGAAAGTATCATCCTAAGTGAAACAAGCCGAACAGAGAAAGACAAGTTTCATATGATCTCACTTATTTGTGGAATATAATGAACATAACAGTTTGAGGAATGGGGTAGTCCCAGAGACGCGGAAGCGGGGTACAGACTGACAATCCCCTAAAGAGGGGGGAGGTGGGGGAGGGATGAACCACAGAACTTATATGCATGTGTGCATGAACAGTGGACATGGACAACAATCTGGGGAAAGGGCAGGGAGGGAGGGGGAAGGGGGAATCAGTGGGGGGAAAAGGAGAAACATCTGTAACAAAAATTAATCAATAAAAAAAAAAGAGAAAAAAAAGACAATCACAGAATGAGCCACATCTGTCCCGTGTGAGGCTTTCAGAAGAGGCCCCGACAGCAGGGATTCGTTCTCCAGTTCACACGTAGCTGAAGACTCCTTCCTTTGAAGATTCAAGGATAGGAGAGAAATCACTGAACAGAAAGTGTGTATTTCAAGCTAATGAGTTCAAAGTTCCTTTCAAGACCAATGAAAAGAATTACCTATTTAATCCATCCTAACAACTGACTGCTCACCGAACACATGCGTGGCCATGCTCACTCACAGTGATTCTCATATCTCTTTGGATTTAACATTCATCTCTGCTACAGAACAGACAGCACAAATACCAGCCCCAATCGAAATCCTTCATTAAGTTTGTCTCCACTGAATATGTAAGAAATAAAACATTTCTGAGAACAGTGAAGAGCAAAGCCCGAGACAGAACACCCCGTTCAAGTGCTATACATGCGAAGCCATCTGCAGCCTGACCGCCACGCCCACAGCCGCCACTGCCTACACAGGGAGCCTGTGCAAACCAGTGCGCCTCCACCTCCGCGATCCGGGCAGAGCGACAACCAAGATGTGTCTTGTTGATAACTACCAGGGAAATCTCAAATTAAAGCAACATAACTGTACCTCAAAGAGACATTATTCTTGAAACGAAACCATAGATGTTCAATCTGTTTCTACCTTTCACTGTCCTTGAAAGAAGAAAACACAGTAATCAACAATAGGTTCTTCAGAAATAATTTTAAAATTAGAACTGCAGTCATGTTATCAGGTGGAAAAAAATTATGATTTTCAAACAATCTGGAGCCACTGACAAAAGCATTGAATCATATAAAAATACTTAATAGAAAATTCACAAAATAAAACAGAAAGGGGCATTTGTATGTGTTAAAATAATTTAATTCTCCCTGTACATTTCTGTCCACATGAGCCAACAGAAATCAAGAACACGTACTTTACAATATTTACCTGTTTTGAGATATTCAAGTCAATTCAGATGGCAAAAGTAGAGTTCAATCACTAATGAAATGTTTAAAAATATATATATTAAACAGAAAAATGTTTTTACAAGATAAAAAATAATCTTCCACAATGCAGTAAATTGCAGATCACTGAAATTTTAACTCTTTAGATGATTTCAGTCCAGTTTTTGGTTTCAAAATCTAAAGACAATCAAAAAAAAAAAGCGTCGGCAGAATGCCTATCTGTTTTTACGTTTCTCTTTCTTGCTTCGACTGCCTGTCACACCATTTAGGGAAGATGATGAAGGTGCTCTTGCGTGGCCTGTGGCCTTCAGATGGTCAAAGAGTTTATTCCGGGATGGAAACTCACTGTGGCAGGTTGTACAGCTCAAAAGGACATCGCTCTGAGAGGGAAAATCACAAATAAAAGCACATGTTATCTGAGAGCAGTGCTGTATGTTTTCACGTCCAGATTAAATATCAAACAATTACAAAATAAATATCATCTAACAAGTGGTCAGCTATCAAGACAGGCTCGCCAGAGGCAGCTGTTCTTGGAAGCTAAGTCCCATTAACCCATCCCATCCACACTGAGTCCTGAGACATGCAATAGCGCACCCCACGCGGACTTCAGATTTCAAAGTAACTGTTTGTACAAGCTGATATTTCCCATGTGCTCCTTTTACTTTAAAGAAAAAAACTGACAGTAGCACATGTACAAATCCTACACTTGTCAGGAAGCACGGTGACAGCCCACCATGCAAGAGGAGCACGGGGTCAGCGGACGCACTTCCGTCCTTAGAAGGAACTAAGAGTTGAGCCTGCGTGGCTCAAACAACCAGGTGCACTGAAGGCTGTCGGTGTGATTCTGACCTACCAGTGTCTGTGGTTCAGCAGGTACTTTGACAGGTTTTTTCGTATCTTTGGCTTTCTTTCCTCTGGGTTTAGAAACACTGGAAAATAAACGAAAGAATTCAGCATAATCCAATAATTATGCACCCCTTTTAATTGTCATGTTGCTCCCAAGAAGATTCAAAAGATGACATGGACTTCAAAGGCTAATTTGTTCATTTTAATGGCCTTGTCAATTCATTTTCACATCTCAAATAAACAACTTTAAAGAGCAACTTCAGAGAGCACATTTTATATCAGAGATGACACAAAAACTAAGAAATGTACTTAAAACAGTTGAAACATAAGCAAACCATCCCCACAGTCAACCAGTACCACTCACAAACAATCTGTGACATTGAGTGTGGTTCCCAAACACAACTTCCTGAACCAGGACCAACATCCCGACAGCTTCACAATGAAGCGAAATGAGAAAAATACAGATATTATAATGCACTTTTCATAAAATTAAATTTGCTCAACATAAAGAATTTTCTTTTATTAAAAGATTATCCTTTCTGCTGCTCTGGTGTTTTCCCCAGAACTGCCGGCCAGTACGCCCGTTTCCTCCCGGTCTGCTTTAACTCCCAAGCCCTCCTCTTCTTAGCCTTCTGTATGAATTTTAACTTTCTACTCCCCCTCATTTGTGCTGACCACATTCTCCGGTAAAATCTGGGTGCAACCATGTCTGCGGACAGGGTGGGCTCTAAGGAGTGAGTCAGGACAAGGCTGCCATGCTGCTCTTCAGGCACAAACCAGGAGTCTGCATGAGTTACGCGGCCTGTACAGGCATACCTCGTACCTGTGCTTCACAGATGTGGTTCTCAATCCTCACCAGAGTACATTTTTTCTATTTATCTTCAGATAGAGTGGGAGGAAGGGAGAGAGAGGGGGAGAGAGAACATGGACGAGAGAGAGACACATCGACTGGTTGCCTCCCACACAACCCTGACCAGGGCTGGGGACGAACTGCAACCGAGATGCAAGCCCCTGACTGGAATCGAACCCAAGACTCATTGGTCCGCAGGCTGACACTCTAACCACTGAGCCAAACTGGCCAGAGCACAGATGTTGTGTTTTTTACAAATTGAAGGCAAGATGCTCCACCAGCAAAAAGATTACAACTCTCTTTATTGTGATGGTCCAGAACCAAGCCCAGTGTCTCTGATATGCCTGTACATTTAAAAGATGCTGATTAGGGTGTAGCACAACATTATGCGGAATTCAGCCAGCTTTGAAAGCATCAAGAAAAGGACATAATGGCATAAAAGGCTACAGATTAACAGTTACTAATTCACAGAATATTATCATAGATATGCCACAAATATACCCAAGAAAACTTAGGATACTTCTGGAGAGGAATGTATTCTATTACCAAAGACAGCAGCTGCATCCCCGAAGCTAGTACCTAAGAGCTTTATTTTTTAAAAAGTACTCAAGATACACGTGTTTTTTAATAAAGAGCTTCTCACTAGGTGGCCAGCGTCGTGCACTGAAAGCAGCAGCAGAGGGGCCCCCCAGAAAGGCACTGGGCACCCGTGTGTGTGTGTGTGTGTGTGCAAGTATGTGTGTTACTGTGAGTGTGTGTGTGAGAGTGTGTACCCCAGCCCTGCCACTCTTCAGAAAGGCACTGGGCACCCATGTGTGTGTGTGTGTGTGTGTGTGCAAGTATGTGTGTGACTGTGAGTGTGTGTGTGAGAGTGTGTACCCCAGCCCTGCCACTCTTCAGAAAGGCACTGGGCACCCGTGTGTGTGTGTGTGTGTGTGTGTGTGAGAAAGTGTGAGTGTGTGTGTGCAAGTGTGTGTGTGACTGTGAGAGTGTATATCCCAGCCCTGCCTCTTCAGAAAGGCCCTGGACACCCATGTGTGTGTGAGTGTGTGTGTGTGTGGTGTGTGTGCATGTGAGTCTGTGACTGTGTGTGTGAGAATGAGTGCATGTGTGGGAGTCTGGGTGTGTGTGTGAGAATGAGTGTATGTGAGAGTGTGTACGCCCAGCCCGACACTCCTTAGCAGTGAAGAAGTCATTTGAATTCAAGTCCTCAAAGCCCAGAGGACATTCTTCTGCTGTTCCAGTGCTGAGCATTTTCAACCAGGCTCCCACTGGACTCTGTCATCTGAACTCTTTGCATGGTCTCTGACAGTGACCGTGCTTCTTACTCTGCAGAGCTTCCTCAAGGAGCAGGAGGATGGGCACCAGCCAGGAACCCAGGGCTCCTTCGAGCAGGAAAGCTCCAGGCTGTGGACATACATCCTGATGACCTCACTGCGGGCTCAACACAGGACAACTGTCACCGCCTGTGGGCTAGGGCAGTGATGCTCCAGGTAAATGGGCACAGCCTCATCAGTAGCCTAGTTCGAATGTGAGGTCAAGGATTACCGGTCCAGGAAAAAGTACGAACCTCAGCAGGAAAAGGGAAACACAACCTGGATCAAAGTGACTTCTTTCTGACTTGGTCCATGTTGCTGAAATGTATGCGAGTATGTTCCTCTAGCATTCTCCTCCCAACACGCTTCATCTGTGTACATATGTCTAGATACAGACATACCAACAGATGCCCAATTCACCGCGTCCATCACGGGAAAGAGGTTCTATCTGATATGAAAAGAGATCCTCAATGCCAGGATTAAGTGACAAGAAAACCATATGCACCTTTGACCTACCTTTTAGCCTCACTTTTTGGGTCATCACACAGCTGAACAGTCTCTGTGACGCTGACACTTTCTTGGGGACAATCTTCTAATTCTTTGGCACTGTCTTGATTTAAGTTGGTATCTTCTGGATCAACTTTTACTCCTTCTCCAGTTCCATTTTCATTGAAATTATCATTGTAATTCTAGGTAATAAACATGTATGCATTACAAAATAAATACAATAATAATAATGGCTTCTTATGTTATGTTGCCAAACAGTTATAATAAATAATGATAATGTCCTGTGCCCTCTGGATGGAGTATATCTTCAGGTAATAAAAAGAAGCATGTAATTTTAAAACATGAATGCTCATTAACAGAAATGCTAAATTAGTGAAAAGTTGGAAACAACCTAAATATTCAATAAGTGAATGATTGAATATGAGGAAAAAGAATGAAGCTCTTAAGAAATCATGTTTCCAAAGTTACTGATTCTGTTATATGGAAAACAACATATTAGCAAAAATCAAAGAGAGACAATTATACAGAACAACTGATTACAATTTAATTCAACATTAAGTACTATCTATAGGCAGAATTAGGGAGAATATTTACACTTTTCTATATTTTCCAAATAATCTGCAATGAGCAACTATAGTCAGGAAAAAAACAAAGAAAACAGCAGCAACTACAAATAGACATTGTAGAAGGAAGAGGCCTGGCAAACATAGCTGTACTAGGTGCAGCCAATTTGGTTGTGTTGGGGGTGGGGGTGTACCATTTTGGTTTTGTTGGTGGCGGGGGTGTACCATTTTGGTTTTATTGGGGGTGGGGGTGTACCATTTTGGTTTTGTTGGGGGCGGGGGTGTACCATTTTGCCCCGTTTGCTTTCTCCCTCTCTTCCTGCCTTCTTCCTCCTCTCCGCACACACACTTCTCCCCCTCTGAACTATGAAATAAGTTGTAGGTAGATATGATGGCATTTCACCATGTATCTCCTTGGAACACAACTTTCTCCCGGGATCCACAATACCCTCTTCACACTCAAGAATTTAACACTGACACCACCTGTTACACAGCCCGTATTCATATCCCAGCAGTGTCCTCGGCTTATAACCTCTGTAGTAGACAGAACCAAGGATCACTTGTTGCATCGAGCTGTCATATCTTTCTTATCTCTATTCCAGAACAGTACCCCTTCATTTTTCTTTCATGATAGTACTGACTATTTGATGACTGTTTTGTAGAATATGCCATGGTCTGGCTTTGTCTGATTGTTTCCTCGTGATTAGATCCAGGCTCAACATCTCTAGCACGTAGAGCGTAAAGACACAGCTGTGTCGCCGGCCAGTGTGGCTCAGTGGTTGAGTGTCAACCCATGCACAAAGAGGTTGCCCGTTCGATTCCTGGTCAGAGCACATGCCCAGGTTGTGGGCCCGAACCCCAGTGGGGGGCATGCGGGCGGCAGCCATTCGATGTTCTCTCTCATCAATGTTTCTAGTTCTCTCTCCCTCTCCCTTCCTCTCTCTCTAAAATCAATAAAGGGAAAAAAAAATTGTTTTTAAAACACAGCTGTGTCCTCCTCAGCAGAGCACATCAGGAGACAAAATGTCCATCTGTCCCACTTTTCAGTGATTCAAGTCTGATCGTTTGGTGCATGTGGTGTTGCCAGCCATTTCTGCTGTCAAGTACCCTGTCCTTTTTTAATTAGTAAGCACTGCGCAGAGTGTTGCTTTGAGATTGTGTGACTACTCTGTTTCCTACTACTTACTCATCCAATGACTCTGGTATCCACTGATGACGCTTGTGTGACCCTTTGATTATATTGGTGGATGCAGAGCAGTAACCTTTCTACTTCTATGAGTTCTGCCATTTGCATCTGTACTAATTCATGTTCTTCTGTAATGAAGCTTTCCTATACGTTTCCTGCCTCCAACTCTCTTTTTAGGCCCCATATATATCAATATAAATACAGGTTTCTTTTTTAAACAAAATCAACGTGTTAAAATCTATCATTAATATTTTTGATGACTTAAATTTTCCCAAATTTGGCAGGCCCTTAAACTCACTCCTGGGTAGTGCTGCCTTCTCCCCATCAATTTTTGAATACTTTCTTAGTTTGGAGAAGAGAAGGCAGAAACTTGCCCTGTACTTTCCCTGGCCTAGCCCTGGAACCAGCCACTTCTCCATGGACCAAGCCCTGACTCCTTCTACTAGGGAAGGGATTTAGAAACCAAGGTATGCCTACTAGGTATGCCCATTGCTACTGGGCATCACTACTTCTGGGCCCTCACAATGTACACAGCTAACGCACTTTTGGAAAATTTTTTTTTCTTTATTGATTTTAGAGAAAGAGGAAGTGAGAGAGAAACATCGATGAGAGAGAACACTGATTGGCCACCTCCTGCATGCCCCCCACTGGGGATCAGACCCACAACCTGGGCATGTGCCCTGACCGGGAATTGAACTAGCGACGTCTTGAGGCATGGGTTGACATTCAACCACTGAGCCACACCGGCCAGGCATAATGCACTTTTTTTAATGCTCTTATTTTTTTAAATCATTAGCTCATACCAATATCTCCAATTCCAATCCAGCCTAACAGTGTTCTTTCTCCTTTTCCCTCAATCTATATCTGTATTTCCCTTCTTCTACAAGAGAATCTGGTCCCCAATGACATTAATATATCTATACTTGTCCCTCAGGTTCCACAGGAGACCAGTTCTAGGAAAACCCCGAGGATGCCAAACTCCACATGCTCCAGCCCCTTATATGAAATACGTAGTTTTTGCACATAACCTGTGCACATCCTCCCCTGTGAGTTCAAACTTACAAAGCCAAACACAGTGTGAGTGCTATGTAAACGGTTGCTACCCTGTACTGTTTAGAGGTCACTCTCTGAAATACCTTTTCAATATTTCCGATTCTATGTCGGTTCTGCAGGTGTTGAGCCTGTGGGTACAGAGAGCTGAATACACTCCTTTGCTCTATTCCACACTGCAAACAAACTAGCTTCCAAAATACCACCAAAATATCTGCTAAGTAAAGCTCCAGGTTTGGTTTTTGCAGTTAATTTTGTCTTTATAATATGCACCATGGATGGTGCTTAGAGTACTGCATTCAACAGTTTCTTGGGCTGCATCTTTCTGCCAGCCAGGGTCATGTGTTTGTTTACATTCAGTTTCAGTTTGGAGGTTCCCCTGACAATCCTGTTGGCTTATGAAAAATTTTATGAACCATACAGAAAACTCCCTATCTGATATTGCACAATTCTCAGCATTTTCTGCTTCTTGCTTTGTATCTACCTGTACATGGCTCATACTACCTTCCCGTTCAAATACCTTAGGAAGTATTATGAATAGTGCTGCACACATAAAATTAAGTCTGCACTGGGCTTTCGCCCTGATATACTCTGGAATCATAAACAAGGAGTATTATCAAGGAAGAACGCTTTAGAGGGAAAATCTGGGCTGGTAAACTGAAGCATCTTCACTGGTAAGAATACAAACACATGTGGTTATTATTCAATCTTCTTTGTTAGCCGATCCTGCATGACTCAAGGTGAAATGTGCCTCTCCATTTTATTCTGTCTGTTCTAGTGGTTCTGATGCACAAAGAAGACAGGCAGGGTTCTACACTAATGACTACAGAGTCTTTGGGTGGAAGATATGAGTCATTTTATAAAAGGAACATACAACTTACTATGTGGTTTTATAACTGAAGCAAAAAGTTCTTAGTCACATTTTAACAGGGATTGCCTCATGTGTCATATATCATTTTTAGAATATGAAACAGCTAAAAGTTATCAAATATATTATATTTTGGATAAATAGACCAAATTCTGAAGTTTCATGAAAAATTATTAATGTATTATCTTGGTTTTCACAAAAATATTTTCAGTTATTAAAAAGAACTATAACATTTAATACCTAATATAAGTTAATATAATTAGATTATATGAAAATGGCACAGAAATCAATTTCATTCCCTTTAGAACCATCAAATATTCTTGTAAAATGGGTAAGTTCATTTTGGTTTTATAGGTTCAAAACTATCCACAAGATTGTGTTACATACATATATCAACATAGTGTCTTTTTATTTCAAAATACAGCTGGCCCTCTGTATCTACCGGTTTTGCATCCTTGGATTCAGCCAGCTGGATGGGATCTGCAGGTGCAGAGGGCGGACTGTATGCTCTGTTCTATGCCATTCTACTTAAGCGAACTGAGCATCCATGGATTTTGTTATCTGTGGAACCAACCTGCTGCAGATACCGAGGGAAGACTGAAATTCTTGAATTTGGACCCCAGGTGTAAAATATTTAAACTACTTAAATTTCTGAGTAATATAAACAAACATTCTTTTAATAATCACAATCATTGCAAGTTTCTAACCAAATGTTCCTTTTGTAAAACTGCAACTATGTTATACAATGACTGATCAATCCGCAGAAGTCAGGTGTCCAGATATTTTTTAATATGGTCACTCAGCTAATTAGTATTAGGGGAATTGCACATGCAAAATTTTTAAACAAACTGACAAAGTGCCCAGCTGCTGTGGCTCTGTGGCTGACCGTTGACCCATGCACCAAGAGGTTGCCAGTGCGATTCCTGGTCAGGGCACATGCCCAGATTGTGGACCAAATCCCCAGTGAAGGACATGCAGGAGGCAGCCAATCGATGTTCTCTCTCATCGATGTTTCTCTCTCTCTCTCTCTCTCTCTCTCTCCCTTCCTCTCTCTAAAATCAATAAAGAAAAAAACAAAACAAAACAAAAAAACCCAACAATAGTAATTAAATAAGTTAGCTATATACATATAAGAGGGGGCTAAAAATATATATATTTTTTCAACCCCTTTAATTATTTTACAATCAATATGAAGTTAGAGCAAAAAGTCCCTATCCTTAATACAGAGTATAGTGAACAAACAAGAGCACTGCACTCTATTCTTGAAACTTAATGTTAATGAAACATTTTAACATACCTGTGCTGGTTTCTGTTTCTTTTTCTTCTGTTTTTTAGAAAGCCTAAGAATAAATATAAATCAGAATGTCAAATACTTGACATTGTGAAGACTTACAAAGTGAAAAGAAAAATACTGAAACATTAGTGACACAGAGAAGAGTAAAAAATTAAAATTATTCAATATCATAAAGAAATAAAAGGAAAAGAAAATGTTCACATTATATCATTTTAGAAACTTATAAGTGGTTCAATTGATAGTAATTAGCATATCAATTACCTAGGTAAAAAGTACTTTTAAATAATACAATCTATAAAAATTATATTTGACATCATGCCTGTACCCATTTCAATATTATAATGTTCCCCTAACTAGAAGAAATGCAAAAAATACTATCATAACAGAGTAACTTCTTGAGATAAAACAGCATTTAAATGCAATTGCTCAGTGTGATAAGAACGTCTGTGACATCTTTAGAATTACTTTTGTTTTGGTGCGTCCTCCATTTCTTCCTCGGAATTGGCAGTCAATAGATTCTCATCAGTCTGCGGTCCCGAGAAATTTTCTTCCTCCTTCTCCAGCTGTTGTTTTAGCAAGGCCACCATTTCCCGATGCTTCTTTGATTTTTCATGATTCCGCATGCTGAAAGGACACTCGACATGAGCAACGGGACTACGTCACAGGTGCCCCAAAGGGCTGCTGGACAGGTGCAACCCAGATAAAATTTACTCTTTTCGGATCAACTAAGCAGAATGTCAGTGACACTATGAAGAGAAACACAACCCTGTCCGGAAATCCAAGACTCCCCTCCTTCTGTCCTTTGGCCTACATATGTTCTCCCTACTTTTTTTCTCAAATTCCCTATTTTTTTTATTTTCCAATTCTTAAAATGCAAGCCTTCTCCACCATTTCCTAAGTGTTTATAAGTTCCAGGCCATGCTATGGGTCTCAAAGGATCACTGAGAAATTACAAAACAAAAAACATTCTAACTTTAAAAAGAAGACACCCTGCCCTGACTGGTGTGGCTTAGCTGACTGGGAGTTGTCCGGTGCACCAAAAGGTCATCAGTTCGATTCTCAGTCAGGGCATATACCCAGGTTGCAGGCTCGATCCCTGGTAGGGGCATGCAGGAGGCAGCCCATCAATGTGTCACTCTCACATCTCTCTCTCGCACCCTACCCCTTCTCTCTAAAAATCAATTAAAATCTTTAAAAGGAAGACACGCTGGATTTGAGAGACAGTGATGTGAGGCCTTGACGTACAGTTTGCCTCCTTTTGCTTTCTTCAACAGCTGTCTTTCACCTTCTCAAGAGGGGTCTCCTTTCCCACTCCCAACACCCTAAAAGTGAGTTCAGACACATGTCTACCCCATGGACCACCAAGTAAATACTTCACAAAACAGAGTTAATAACACTAAAGCTGCGAGTTAGATAAACCAGCAGGCAGGAGACTTGTGTCCCTGTCAACTTCAGCTCATCGGTTCCAATTCCCGTTTTCCAGTTTGGGTTGCTGCTCTCCTTTCCCACTAACATTCTCCTTCAGCTCAAGGTTCCTGGAGAAATTGGAGCATCTTATGCCAGAACGTAAGCGCTCAAAACTACAACTGGGAAGCGTCAAAAGGACATAGGAGCCAGGCTGAAGGATCTCACACTCACCACTACTGGGAAAGCTGGAGCATGAGAAGGGCAGTAAGAAATCATAAACCCTGAAACAAACGCGAGGATCCAGACGGCCGGCCCGAATCACGGGGAACGGTGGGCTCCCGTTTACAGCAGGAGGCACGTGTGAGATGCGGGAGCGCCGGCACCAGACAGCCTGATGCGGGGACTGTCACAGTGCAGGCGGGCACGAGCTAAAACCCTCAGTGGGCGCAAAATCCAGTAGGGAACTTTTGATGAGGAGCAAAATGTTCGCCCGGTTTTAAAGTGTCTCCCACAGATTAAATATGCTATAAGAAAAGTTTGTTGCCAGGGAAAAAGTTCTAACTTTACAGTGTACAACTGGGCAGCACCTTGACTGGGGGTCAAAGGGATCACGACCAGTGGGGCAGGCAGACGTAGGTGCCTCCAGCTATGAAGCCCTGAGAGCAACGCATGTGCAGTCTCCCAGCTGGACACGCAAAGCTTGAACCTAACCACGAGGACACAACAAACCCAAAATGAGAAAAACTCTACTGAAAAGATGTTTTAAAGGGCCCATATTCTGGAATGTCATTGACACAGACAAGGGAACGGGTCCAGATTCAGTGAGACAATCCGTGCAGTACGTGACCCTAGACTGGTCCTGTATCGTAATGAGAAAGAGGCCATACAGGACGCTAATAAAGGATCACCGGAGAGAAGAGGAATATGGGCAGAAAACGAGACAAAAGTACATCACTTATACATTTCCCCAAGTTGGCAGATGCACGCTGACTGTAAGAGAGCGTCCTTGCCTTGAAGAACGTACACTGCAGGTAAAGGAGCATTACGCTTGTCACTTACTCTCGGATTATTCGGGGAAAGCCGTGTGCGCAGCGACCGGGAACAAGCACACGCAGTGGGGAAAGCACGGGCCACGGCTGAATCGGTTACTCTGTATTCTTTCAACTTGTCTGCAAGTTTGACACTACTTCCAAATACACAATGTTTTTTACAAAGCTCCTTCACTGCGGCTATTGTTTCATTGCTGGTTTCTAGCTGCTCCACCTCCCCACTTCGCTTCTGCTCCGACTGCCTGTAGGGCTCATCCAGTAAGACCATTTCCGACTCCCACATCCTCATTTTCATCCTCTCATCTCCTTCCTCGGGGATTTTGCTTCTTTTCCCCTTGCTGATTCTCCAATGTTTCCCATATTCTTTACTCGCTTTATAACAGTATCCGTTTTAATACTTCTCTCAGCCACTGTTCCCATAAAACAAAGTGCTCCCTGCACGGTTTGGCTCAGGGTTAGAGCGTCAGCCCGTGGACCGAAGGACTGCGGGTTCGAATCCAGTCAAGGGCACCTACCTGGGATGCACATTCGATCCCCGGCCCCAGTGGATCCCCCGCCTCAGTCAGGAGGCAACCATTCAATGTGCCTCTCTCACATCAATGTCTCTCTCTCTCCCCCCTCCCTCCCTTCTTGCCTCCCACTCTCCCTAAAAAAAACCCAAAAGAATGGAAAACTATAGCCTAGGGTGAGGATTAACAACAGATAAATAAAGTCCTTCCTGCTCTCCCTCCTAGAGCAGGCCTTTCCCCTCCCCCTCTCCCTCTTTCCCCCTCAGGTGCCTTACCTTAACAAAAAGATAAATAAAGTCCTTCCTGCTCTCCCTCCTAGAGCAGGCCTTTCCCCTCCCCCTCTCCCTCTTTCCCCCTCAGGTACCTTACCTTAACAAAAGATCAAGTCCTCCCACTCCAGCAACTGTCCCACAGGACTGGGTTCAAGCCCCGAGGCTGGCAGCAGGGGCCTGCGTGGCAGTGTGATGGCTGGGAGTGAGTCCGCCACCCACAGCGGGGGAGATCATGAGCTGTGCTCTGGCCTCCTAGCCCGGGTGATTATGCCTTCTTTGCCAAAAAACCTAGCAACACTTTTTCTGAAGACCATGTACATGTTTACAAAGGAGCTGTTCCACAGGAATGCTGGCATGACTGACAGTCAGCTCAACAGGCTGAACTGCTGGTACAAAGCCTTCTTCCTCCCCCAGGACAACACGTGAGCACTGGTGACCTACTACTAACAGCATTTTCTTTTCAGGACTGTCAAAGCATTATACTTCGCTTCGAAAGAAAAGGTGAGTTCAAAGATATTCAACTTACGCCTTCTCCGTCCTGAAAGATCTGTCACACGCCGGGCAGTACAGGTCCTCACAGAGCCCTGCATCCTCGGCCTCATCGCTGTCTCCAGCTGCGGAAGGAAGCCCACAGTAAGGAGCCTGTCTGATTAGAGCACACTTCGAAAACGCACCGACACATTTCATCTCTGGGGTGAGGATCTAGAGTTGCCTACAGATTAGAAATAAAATGTTTCCTTTCTTACCAAAAAACCCACAAAAACAAATAATGTTATCAAGATTTGAGATGACCCTTTAAAAGCAGCTCTAAATTATAGGAGATAAATAAATCACTTTACCTTTCATATGTCTACTTAGAAGAAGACAAAAATTCTCAAAACCCTGAGTGAACTAAGTCCAGAAAATCAAATGTTTCTTTCATAGTTCTACCACAAAGCAGTTTTTTCAACAAAGTTTTTTTAGTTTACCTCTTGAGCAAGATTTGATACAAACACACTTATAGCTGTAATCTACTATTAAATGGTTAAATAAACTTAGCTTCCAACATTGTATCATTATTAGACAAGTCATAAAATAGCATATTACCTGTAAAGTATAACATTGTCTTTACAGACCTTTTTTTATAAGCTTGAAGATTTACAATGGAATAATTACTATCTATATAGTCCAAAAATCTAAGCAACTAAAAAACACAATAAGTCTTTGCACGATACCATATTCTATCTTTGTAAGAAATAAAAAAGTAAACTGATTTCCATTTGGGACTTATTATGGGACCAATAAAGATCCCAAACCATCCCTTCTTTATTCTATGAGATGGTTCTTTATAATAAGTGACGTTAATAAGATTCTAAAGGCAGTCTCATTAAAATTATAAATGATCAAAATGTATCGTATTTAGAATATGGTATTATTTTCCAATCATTTGTATACTTTCAATAAATCATATACATGAAATAAACTTTGATTAATAAGTAGTAAATAAAGAATGCTGGATTTGAAGCCAAAATCTGGATCTAAAAATGGTCATATGCTCTCAGGCATATGCCATAGCTTCTCAGAGTTTTGACTGTCTTCATCAGTAAAATGCAGCTAATTCTATGAACAAAATCTACATTTAAGGGCTATTAGAGGATCAAGCAAGATCTTGTATGTGAAACATTTTATAAATTGTAAAACTCTAGCCCTGGCTGGTTTAGCTCAGTAGATAGAGCGTTGGTCTGAACACTGAAGGGTCACGGGTTCAATTCCTGTCAAGGGCACGTACCTTGGCTGAAGGTTCAATCCCTGGACCCGGTCAGGGTCATTTGGGAGGCAACCAATCAATGCATCTCTCTCACATTGATGTTTCTCTCTCTCTCTCCCTCCCTCCCACTACTCTATCTAAAAAAAAAAATCAATGAAAAAATATCCTTGGGAGAGCATTTAAAAAAATTTTTGCCCTGGCTGGTTTGGCTCGGTGGTTACAGCATCGGCCTGTGGTCCAGAGAGACCCGGGTTCGTTTCCCGCTAAAGGCGTGTACCTCGGTTGCAGTTTGTCCTCAGCCCTGGTTGGTTGTGTGGGTGGCAGCCACTCAATGTGTCCCTTTCATGTCGATGTTTCTCTCTCTCTCTCTTCCTCTGTCTCCCTCCCACTCTATCTGAACAAAAAATGGGAAAAAAAAATGTCCTTGAGCGAGGATTAAAAAAAAACCACAAAATTAAATAAAAAAAATTTTTAACTCTATATAATCACACCATCTCACATTTGTAGAGTGCTTTATAATTTTCAAAGCACTTTCACACATACTTATTCATTAACAAAAATTCCATTTCTTAATCATTTTGAATAAATAAAAGTCTGTCATTTTATCACTTAGTTTCTTAGTCTGAAAAAGCACATTTATAAAAATTTCAGCACACCAAGAGCCCTTCTACAAAGTCAGAAACAAGAGGAAGAATTTATATACTCGATGTAGGCTCACTCCTACATAATATCAGCTTTTCTGGAAAGAGTTGCTATTAAAACTTGACCTACGGCTTAACTGCCTTTTTTGAAATAGCCAGTCAGTCACACCTGTCAACAGCCTACTTGTCAACACATTTATACAGCCAGAAGCACAAACTGTTTAAAACATGGTCAGAAAAGAGTCTGTTAATCAAATGTTTAAAATATAGTCAGAAGAGTTTTAATCTAATTACCAGAATTAGACTACTTCAATAGACTACCTTTCCTTGGTCCACACAATATTGTTTTTCACTTTAATTATCTGCCACATTTAAAACGTGGGAGAGGTCACATACAAATCCAGATTTCTAGCTTCACTTAAAAACCAAACAAACACAAAAACTCTGGCAACAGTCGCTGGAACTTGGGTGCTCTCCAGGGTTTCTCCCTCCACTCTCCCATTCCACTGCCTTACCCCTTTCCTGGCTCCGGCACGCACCCTCAGTGCACCCCTGTGCACAGAATCATTTATTTCCCCAAGTTTCTGAATGAATGGAAGAAGTTACCATCCTGCCCGTCTCTGAGCTCCTGCTCCTCCATTTCCTCTTCCTCGGAGCCATCTCCAAACTCCTTTTCGTACCGCGCCTCCATCTCCCGGAGCTCCTTCTCCAAGTTGGCCATCGTCATCCAGCTCTGTTCTTTGTACTGCTCTGCTAGTCTAGACACAAACAGCACAGTCTCCACATTGGGTGCACTTACTCTTTAGGCTTCAAATCCATCCCCAAGGGGGCTTTTCCTCCCAAGCTGTCAGCGCGCACAGCTTAAAACCTGTGCTTAGTTAGAGCAGGCAGAGTCACGTTCAATCTGTTAGCTGCCGTGGTTGATTTTAATTGCCCAACTAGGTAATGGATTTTGAAACGTGTAACTCTCAGCAACTTATAAAAAGTCTTCAAATGATCTTAAGTCGTAAGTGTCAAGTAAAGTGCTAATTTTCAAAAGCCGAGGGGAGGGGCAGGTAGAGTGGGTAAGAGGTGGTTTTCTAAAGAACATAATGCTCTGGGCACCGCACTTCCACAGTTCTCAAAAACGGCAGAACTTTAATGGCACGAACATGGCCTAAATAAGTACGAGGGGACTGACAAAGAGGCAGTCCTGTCTGGTGGTTAAAAGTCAGGGCGCTGGACGACGGCCTGGGTTCAACCCCCAGAACCGCGGTGGACAAGCATCGAGAGGAGGGCCTTGTGCGGAGTAAGAACTCGGCGGCTGTCAGTTCCCATCACCTTGTACAGGTGTCTGTCAAGGATCTTAAGTATAAAGGGCCTCGGAAGGAAAACGTCCAATTCAAAAACAGCTTTTTTTCACAGTAGATGAAAAACCACTGTACAATGTCAGAATTAAAAAAAAAAAAGGTGGCTGTGGCCGGTTTGGCTTAGGGTTTAGAGCATCAGCCCAAGAACTGAACGGTCTCAGGTTCAATTCCAGTCAGGGGACGTACCTGGGCTGCAGGTTTGATCCCCCGGTGGGGGTCGTGTGGGAGGCAACCAATCGATGATGTGTCTCTCATGTTGATGTTTCTCTCTCCCCCGCGCTCCCTCTCTCCCTGCCACTCTACCTGGAAAGCAATAGAAAAATGTCTTCGGGTGAGGATTAGAAAGAAGACGAAGCCAGGATGACTTAACCCCACTTGAGGGCACCATGCCAGGAACCCCCGCCGCTCCCCTGGGCCCGCACCACAGGCGTTCAGGAAAGCGGCCGCGCATGCGCACTGCGTACTTGGCCTGCTTCAGCTTCTGCTGCCGCCTCATCTCCTCGGCCTTCCTCGCCTTCTCTGCGTTCTGCTCCTCCACCAGCTTCCGGTGGGCCTGCACTCTTTTATCTCTTTTCCGGATGAAAGCCACCAGCTGCCGGACAAGCTCATTCTTCTCTTTCCTGGCTTTGTCCCGAGTCTTTTTGTTTTCTTTCTCCATGGCGCGTTTCTCCCAGCGGTTGGAGGCCTGCCGGGTATCGTACTCCTCCTTCCAAGCGAAGTTCTTCTGGGTGCAGAAACTCTGCCAGTAGGCGTAGAAAGGGTGGACGACCTAGCGACAAAGAAAATAGGTCAAATGCTAGTTTTCTATTTAGACTTTTTTCAGTAAGGCAGCAAATATTAGTGATACAAAACATCTTTCATGTTTCATATTTAAAACGTTACTGTTAATCAGAGGAAAAGAAGACAATCCTTCTAAGGTTTTAAAAAAGAAATCAATATTCGGTATGAACTTAATGAGGAACTTGATGGGATGTACCACAGTCATTTAGGAGGGAAAAGTGACAAAAGGGAAGGCTACCAGGAAGGAAGAGAAAAGAAAGTCATAGGATAGGACCAAGAACTAGAACCCATTTTATTATTAAATAAAGAAATAGCAAGACACACTGATCAGTGCTAAGTATAAACGGCCATGCATTTTTCTCTCACCGTATCATAGTCACTCTGAGAGTCTCCAAAAGTTGGGAAATCCTCATCATCCTCTTCCAACACAGACTCTAGTTCTTCCTTTGCAATCATTTCAAAAACATTACGATATACCGTATAAAAGCCCTAAAACACAGGTAACAGAAACACAAATTCTTCATACTTTATAGTTTAATCACAGAATAAGATTTTAAAATGCAACATGAAAGAATGTCCTGTTAATGAATGACAGCCCAAGCTCTGTCACTGTAGTCACACTCCAACGGGAGGTATTGAGTATGCTGACAGTCTAAATATGAAGGCAAAAGTGCACTTCTTACCTTCTCATCGTCTCCATAACCAGAGTAACAGGTAACAGTGAAATAGTGCAGCAGATCTAGGCTGTCGTCCTGGTACTCCCCATCGAGCCCCCCTTTGAGCAGAGCCTCCCTATGATTATCATACCTAAACAGGTGAAGAAATCGCCATCATCAGTGCAGGCTAAACACATAAGAACTCAAAAGGACTTCTTACTCTGAAACAGCCAAAATTCTATTATTGTACTTTTTTAAAAAAATTTTCAACCAAGGACATTTTTTGTTTTGCATTTAAATTCAATAGAGTGAAGGGAGGGAGAGAGGAAGAGAGAGAGAGAAACATCAACATGAGAGAGACACATCAACTGGCTGCCACGCACACAACCCCATCGGGGCCAGGGACAAACCGCAACCCAGGCACGTGCCCTTAGCAGGAACTGCACCCGGGTCTCTCTGGTCCGCAGGTCGATGCTCTAACCGCTGAGCCAAATTGGCCAGGGCTATTACTGTACATTTTAATGTGTCCACCCCACAACCAAAAATTTTAAGAAAAAAACACATAAAGACAATCTCTCACAAAACTGCTGATTAAAACTATGACTACAACTTCTAACCCTCTACAGACGTCATACAGGACTAGCCCAGGTGAAGAAGGGAATTTAACAAGCCAGGGAATGCCGTTACTCCCAGAAAGGCAGCTGCATGTTCGCAGGAAAGACGCATTACCGAGCAGGGCAGGAGTGGACATAATCTAGGCCACAGGCTAATGACATGTTTGAGCTCTGAGAATTTACCAACACATACCAAAGTAAGACTCTTGCTATATAAATGATCTAGCAGCTTCATACACATAACAATCACCCCACATAGTAACTCTGTAAAGTTAGCTGCTATCCCTGTTTGCTGCAACAGTAAGTTGAAGCTCCGTGACATTAAATAATTTATTGTCCATAATCACGAAGCCAGCAAGCAGCAAAGCTAGAATTCAAAACCAGTCGCTGCACTGCAAGGACAGGGCTCCCTCCCAGCCAGCATACAGTGCTGGCTCCGCGCAACAGCAGAGGTGACAGGCAGGGGCTTTAAAGACACAGGGACTCCTTGGACAAGAAAACAACGCATGATCAAGAGAAGAGGCCAGAGCAAAAGGAAATCAAGAAAGAATCTCGAAGTTCCCAAAAGAAGGTAAAAACATTTCTAAGGCTAGATCTCCACATTCCTTGGGCGGAGAAAAATTTAGGATTCTCTGACTTCCACATAAAAGACAATATCATGAGGACTGCCTTCACAGCCGGGGGTCCCTCTACAAGCCACCGGGCCGCACAATGATGCAGCAGCCTGAGCACCCTGTTGTGGATGGAGCGGCGGGGTCCTGCAGTTACAGGGCTCAAAACCCATCCCCTCGCGGCAAAAAGTCCATCAAGACTCTGGAAAATCAAAACTCCTAACGCACAAATTGTTTGGAAATGATATTCAATAACCAGGCCATCATTAGTAAAAGTATCTGTCACAGATGTAGAAGTTTAACTCAACTTCTTCATATAAAGTAGTTGTAGGGAAATATTACAATTCTTGTGTTAAAACACTGTGTCTGTTTCGAAGGACAAGTCAGCATTCTTCCTTGTCTGACATCAAAAAATCTGTCATACACCAAAGAGACCCCATTCAATGAGAAGTCAGTTCATAAGCACCAAAGTTAAGACCATCTGACATTGCCAAGCTTACTGTGTCGTGAGCTCTAAAATCAGACAGTTGGGGTAATCATCTCTCAGGTTCCCTTCTACACTGCATTTCATAGAATGAAAAGGTGACATGGGCCTCAGAACACACCAAAAACCATTAATGTATTAAATGACAATTTAACGCCTTATTGACAATTCTTCCCAACAAAATACTCTAGGACAGAAGGACAGCGTGGTGCTCACCATGCTCTTTCCTGAGGGTCACTCAGCACATCGTACGCTGCTTGGATTAATTTAAATTGCTCAGCTGCTTCCACGGCATTATCCAGATTTTTATCTGTTAAAATAAAGTCAGAGAAATTCAGTCATCAAAAAAGTAGAGGACAAAATCTAAAAGGGACCTCACCCATCACAAATGCCATAAACAGAGAGGAAGTATACAAAACAAAAAAAGAAAGAAAAAACTAGGGGAAAGCAGAGATACTGGATGACAGCTGACAATCAGAATCTAAGTATCTGCTTGAGTAGAAAGTTCATGCTTCTCCCTAATCCTTGGTGCCTCCCTGAGCACTCAACCTGGGTAACCACGAATGGAAAACCCTGAATAGTACATCTTCTTAGGAGGAACAATGTGTGTGCATATTTAAATCAGTTAGGAAAAACTATTATTATTTAGTGCTAGATTAAGCCACTGTGGTTAGGGTTTCCGTTATTTCCAATATTACCAAATTCCATCTTGTTGTGGTCCTGTGGCAACTGGGTTCTAGGTGGTCCAGAGCCCTCCTGTAATTATTGCAGATTTTAATTGCCACTCTATGACAGATACTACAAGTTGCCTCCCTAGTATCTATTTTCTTCCTCACAAAACCCTGACTTTGTTCACAGTGGCAATGAACCCAGTTAAAAATTCACTCCCCCACACTTTCTTGAAGTTGGGTTATCAGGTGACCCAGTTTTAGCCAATCAGATATAAACGCATGTCCACCAAGTGAAGCTTCTGAGGAAAGGCTCTGTTTTCCAGATGAATGGGACAGGCTTTGGTGCATTCATCTAAGACCCCTAACCCATCCCGTGTCCAGCCCAAAGCCAGGGTATTATAACCCCTGCAGGTAGTTATGAGACTTGAGGCAGAGAATGCTAGTTCATCCCTTTTCCAGTAATAATCCCTTTTCCCATAAATGAACCTGATTCAGGGTAGGCACCTGGTGCCAGAAGACACCCCATCTCCCAGTCTTCTTTGAAGCTTCGGTGTGACCATGAGACTAAGCAATAAAAGTATTCTACGATGGCTTTTTAATAATCTTCCTTAAAAAGCCAGTAGCACACAATCTGTCCCTGCATTTCATCTCTTCCTTGTCCATTCTGCTGCCAGGGATCCCCAGCCGCCACCTTGAACGACGAGGGCAGGCCCAGCTCAGAGTGGCTGAGCAGAGAGAGGAAGGACCTCATGGAGAAGACCTGCTACACTGGGGCTCACCTGCCTGTCTCTGCACCTCCAGCTCGGAGAGCACTACACGTCTATCTCTGAGGCTACAATGCTTACACTTGGTGCAAGGATTCAAGCCTGTGGCCAGGATGATGGAGCAGGTCTTTAAAGGTTTCATCAAGAAGCTGGAGCTACCAAGATGGGCCACCTCTGGATTTCTTCTTATGTGAGATCAATAAAATGGCTTTGGTTTAGCCACTGTATCCAGCTTCCTGTCACGCAACTAAACACAACCCTGATATGCCTTGAAGGTGAGAGTCCGGATGAAAATAATCACGATTTCTATGCCTTCATCAAATCATTAATAAAAATTTTGTCAGATAAATAAAGAAGCACAGTTCAAAGGAAAGCAGAATGGCAGAAAAGTCAGGGAAACAGAAAAGGTGACTGTTTGGGGATGGAAGGTGGATGGTTCTTCACCTTTTAATCAGTACTATACTTGTCCTGTTTCTTCCCACACCCTTCCTTCCTCCCCCAATTAAGTTTGAAGAAAGTTAAAGCTTCTAAACAAATAAAAACCCATTCATGTACCAGCTAAAAATAAGATCTAATCTCTTACTGAAGCTTTTCTCTTAAATAATTTTTTCAGTTTGTCATGTGGCTTTTTATTTCACTGAAATACACTTGACCTGGTTGACTACAAGGTTGAACTGAGATCTAAAAGCAGGAAAGCAAGAAGTTAAAAAGCACTAATGTTAAAAATGGAAAGCCCACATAATTTATTATTCACCAACTACAAAAGCCACAGGTATTGCAAATGCAGACATCAGTTTGAAAGGCATTAATTCTCACACTCTTCGTGCTTTTCTCTTCATCCACCATGCTCTCTTCCATTGCCTTCCAAACCTTTTCACAGTGCCTTCTGGAAAATTCCATGGGTCGTGCCTTTTAAGCCCTGCCTTGACGGAAGCCAGGCTCCCTGAGAAGGCCGCTTGCCCCTCCGACTCCTTCAGCCACAACCTTCACACGGCAGGTCTGGTGCTGGGGCTGGCGTCCTGGCCACTGATCCTTCACTCACCCCGAAGACAAACGCAGTCCTTCAAGATTCACTTGGCCATCCCACCTTCTTCCCCTCCGCACTGTCTATTTGCCTCCCAACCACCGCCTCTTATTCACTAAGAATTCTGGCACTTGCCTCAGAGTTTCCAGCCCCGGGTCCTAGTCATCATCCTGAATGACTGCAATGTCCCTTGACCGCCTGTCTACCTACCTCCAGTCTTGGCTGATCCAACCACTCTCCCCACTACAGCCAGAGACACTTGAACAACCTATCTTCTCGACCCTGCTTCTGACTCTTCACTGGCTTCCCAATGCCCTTAGGTTAAAATGCAATCTACCCAATCCAATGCACCAAAACCTCCAAGACCTGGCTCCTGCTTACCTGGCCATGTTCACCTCTGCCTCCCTCCTGGCCTCTGCCATGCTTTTTCTTGACTCCCTCCACCTATATTCACTGTATTCTCCTCGGGTGTCAACCTAGATGTCAATTCTAGGGATGCGCATTTATCCCACAAATACATCAGCCCAGTCCAGGTCAGCTGTATGTGCTCTTAAGCACTTTTAATTTGCCCTTATACTGCCCTTATCTCGCCGGATCGAAATCGCCTATCTCCTCTCAGTGTTACCAGGAAGGATGACTGCATGTACCAGCACGGCAGGGACACTCCTGTCTCGTCCACAGACCTTAGCCTACCATGCAAGGTTCTTTACAATCTAATCTCAAAACTACTACTCAAAAACGTTTTATTGTCATCAAAATTATATGTACATTTGGTCACAAGCATTAATCCTCTTCCTCACATCTTCCCATCCAGAAAGTCGTGAACTCCTTTCTTCTAATTCCTAACTCAATTTTTAATGCTTCTACACTATTTTTGGATTTATTAATTTTGGATAGAGCTACTGAATTCTTGCTGTGATGAACATTTATCTCATTTACCTTTTCCCTTCCAATATGTACCACATCTTTTTAGTTCCCCTGTTGGTAAGCATATTTTAAGTAACAAATCCCTACTTTTACTTCTTATTCCATCAACTAACTACACACATTACCTTCTGACTGGGTCCTGAGCCTTTCCGACAGCTCCTCTCCCAACCCATATTTTCAGACTTCCAATAAACACTACCTTCAGTCCAACTGTCCCCTGGACCACCTTTTGTCCACCATGTGCTCTTCCCCACACTGTTAGTGCACTTTTCCCAATTCCATTCCCCTAGGATCCAGCTAAAATCCAGGCCCCTCTGCCAAGGAGAAGCCTCACGGTCTCTTGGTACACAGTGAAAACTCCTTCTTCTCCTGAATTCCTAGGGCATTACTAGCTACTCTATTAATCCAATTACCAGTTGTATCCATTGTGCTATTTTGTCTGCACCTGTATTTAACTTGTGTGTGTCAGGCATGTTTTCCCAGCAAGACCGAGGTCTCTGTCTTAGCACTTCCGAATTTACAGTGACTTGCTTTTCTGGAGTCTAGAAACGTGCTTATTGATCAGTGCTAATAGGAAAGCCTCTTATCAACCTCAGAAAGCTGAGATTCAACTCCTGTCTTAGTTCCCCAGTCTACACAAAAGCAACACGGGCCTGGACTACAACCAAATAAAACATTCAAATGAAGCATACTTCGACGTCAGCATACAGACTTCACTAGGGAAGAGGGTTACTAGTGCCTCCGTCTTCATTTCAATAAGATAAGAGCCATAAACAACACTTGAGCAGCAAGGATTCCGCGGTCACGGTAAGGGCCGGGAGGAAAAGCCCGGGAGCCTCCGCGGCGGGAGACAGTCCGGGAAGGCGCGGGTCGAGAACTCCAGACTCCTCCCTCCCGGCGTCTGCGAAGGGGTGGAGGAGCAAGTGAAGTCGCAAGAATGTTGTCTCTCCCCACGAGTGGCACTGCGGGAACCGTGGGGGCAGGTGGGTGGCGTCTGGAAAGGGCTGGGGTGCCGGGAGCTTGAGTGAAGCCTGGGGTGGAGGGCTGTGTCCACCGAGGAGTGGGGAGGGCCACGCAGGGGCCACCTGGCTGGGGACCGGGGCCGGACAGCGTCCCGGGCGCCGGTTACTGGGCGAGGGGAGTTACGGGGTGGGTAGGTCGAGGCACAGCCAGGTCCCCGGAGTTACTCCGGGAGGAGAGGGGAACCAGGTGGCGAGGCCAGGACTGCGAGGGACAGCGGCGGTTGCGGGGGAGTTACCCGGGTGCCATTTCAGGGCCAGCTTCCGATAGGCCTTCCTGAGCTCCTCCTCGCTGGCGTCGCGCCGCACCCCCAGCGCCTCGTAGTGACACTTCATCGCCCGGCCGGCCGGGGGGCCGGGGCCGGGGCCCGCGGCGGGGTAGGGGCCCGGGCCCGGGCCGAAGGGGTGGTGGCAGCGCTGGCGGTCCTCTCCCGCGGCGGGAGCCGGGCGCCCGCACTGGGCCAGCCAGCGAGCGCGGCGGCGGGGGCGCGGGGCAGCGGGGGCGCGCGGCGGGGACCGGCGGCGCGGGCTGCGGCACGCGGATGCGCGAAGGGGGCGGCGCCGGCGGCCGCGGCTCCGCATGGGAGGAGGGCGGGCTCTGTGCCGGAAAAGCCGAGTGGGAGGGAGGCGGGGCCGGGCGCGAGGGAGGCGGGGCCGGGCGCGAGGGAGGCGGGGCCGCGGGCGGGGAAGGCGGGGCCGCGGGCGGGGAAGGCGGGGCCACGGTGGGTGTCATTGTGAGGGGCACTGACGGTGGTCAGTGTGAGTAGCACCAACTGGGTAGCTGTCCTGGGGGCTGCGATGGGTGGAAGATATTGGAAAACACTTTGTTGTGGTTCTGATGATAATTCTTCATCGAGCCCCATTTTTTGATGAGGCAAATCATGCCTGAAGTAGCCCGAGTTTTGCTGAAGCCTCCACAACTAATCTTGGCAGGATTCGGTTGGACTGAACAATTGAAAAACACCAAGTGTTTGCCCAGACGGTGAGGCTCAGTGGTTGGGCTTCCACCCCTGCACCAACAGGTGCCAGTTTCATTCCCAGTCAGGGCTCGTGCCCAGGTTGTGGGCCCAGTCCCCAGTGGGGGGCATGCAGGAGGCAGCCAGTCGATGTTCTCTCGATGTTTCTAGCTCTCTCTCCCTCTCCCTCAAATAAAGAAAAATTAAAAAAAAAAAACATCAAGTTTTAGATAGATGTATAACACGTTTCTCAAACCAGAAAAGCTAAGAGTTCATCACTACAAACCAGTATTGTATGAAATGTTGAAGGGTCTTCTTGAAGATAAAAAATGTGAATAAAATGGCAATAAATATATATCTAGCAAGAATTGAATCTACAAATGAACTAATGGAACAGAGACTCAGAGATACAGAGAACTTTTTGTTGGTGCCAGATGGGCCTGGGGATGGGGGAATGGGTGAAAAAGGTGAAGGGACTAAGATACACATTGGTTGTTAGAGGGAGGAACCTCAGGGGGAAGGGACCAGGGCGGGAAGAGATAAACCAAAGAATTTACTTGCCTATATGCATAACCAATGGACACAGACAATAGTGTGGGGAAGACAGGAGAGGGGCAGGAGTGGGGAAAAGGGGATCAATAGGGGGGGGGGAGACATCTGTAATACTTTCAATAAATTTTTAAAAGTAAAAAATAGATGCCCTGGCTGGTTTGGCTCATCAGTAGAGCGTCCGCCCACAGACCAATGAGTCTCAGGTTCGATTCTGGTCAAGGGCATGTACCTCGCTTGCAGTTCATCCCGGCCCTGGTTGGGTCATGTGGGAGGCAAACAGTTGATGTGTCCCTCTCACGTTGTTTTTCTCTCTCTCCCTCCCGCTCTATCTGAAGATAAACAGAAAAATATCCTCAGGTGAAGATTTTTTAAAAAGTAAAAAAAAAAAAAAAAAGATAATTGTGCATAAAAAACCCACCATTTTTTTAACTCTTCAATTCTCTTCAGCTGCCACTTAATGAGGCCTCTAATACTTCCTATTTTGACCAATATGCATGAAGAATAACAGCAAATAAGATGACTTCAACTGAAACAATTTAAGAGGGAAGCATCAACACTGTTAAAAATATTAAATGTTTTAGCACCAATATGGATGAAATTGTGCCGACCCATCCATCCATCCATCCATCACTCTTTAATCCTAACTTTCTGGCCTCTAATCTTAGACTACATTTCCCAGATTAGTTTAGGATAAAAATTGTATTTAAGGTATAGTATTTAACTAGGTTTTCCTTGATCTAACAGATACACTGTATTATAGATGGAATAGTGTACAGCTGTTCTAAACATTTTGATAAGGTGTCAAAATAGTATCCTAATTGTCATTCAAAGGCACCATCACAGCAATATATTTCACTGTGATATGAAATATTTACATACATCAGCTATTAGGTGTAGGTTATATTTGTTAACCATGTATGGTTAGAGAAGGGTTAGCTCTGCAATGTCTATTGTACAGGGTTGGGGTACCCAGTTTAGCAAGATTGTCCCTTTTTCCCTAATATCCTGCTCCCTGAATAATCAAAACAAACCAACTCTAAACCTCATCAAGTTTCTCCATACCATTGTCTAAACAAATCTCTATACACAGAATTCATACAGTTGCCTGTTTTCCACAGAAAAGATACTAACTGTATGGTCTTGGTTTGAAAATTGGTAATGTATAGGAACTGAGAATTTTGAATGCAGGGGGAAAATGGGAACATTCTCCCATCTGGGAATGGAATTGTTCATCGGGGGCAGGGGTGGGAGAAGGAAGGGAAGCAAAAAGTGACAAAGGACCTTTGCTTCCTTCAGCTACATCTTGTTTTGCTTACAACCTTTGAGTCACTTGCCTTTTTCCTTCTGAGGAAAAGGGGTCTATTTGTGCCCGTAACATTGCACAGAAATTTGAACAATTACATTATATATAAATTTCAGTCTAAAGGAATATTCTTATTAAATAGGTTAAATGAACATGGACTTGGGAGATGAGGAATTCTCAACCAAATCAGGTATTCATATAAATAACTATGAAAGGGAAGTAATTTGGAACAGAAAAACATATATGGAAACTTACAATCATGGTTGTTAAATTGTAAACTCCACGAAAACGACAACACACACATCAAAAAGTATTAAGTCTTCAAACTCGCAACTTGTTGACCCAGGTTAGGTTTGTAACCTATAATTAACTGGAGATATGGGTGTTTAAAAAACAAACAAACCCCTAAGTAATTTCTAGCCAAGGCCAGATTTAATTGCCTAAAATAGTGGCTTTTATTTTTTGGCACTTAACAGCCATATATAAACGAAAGTATATCAAGATAACCTGACCTGAATTACCTGCATAATTTAGAAGATTTCAAGTAGCTTCATTCAGACTATTTCAAGATCAAGTAGCCTAATTATACACTCAGGAAGGCATTTTTTTTTTAGCAGAAAATTAAGAGAAAATGAAATATAAAAAATTTATCATCTTGCCCATGTATTTATATAAAGGCAAAATTAAAATTCAAATGAACTAGGAAAGATGTCCAGAATAAACTTACTATAAGAGATCTTACAAATTAGTAAAACAAAAACAAACAAAAAACCCACCACCCCAAAACAAGCTGTCACACACACACACACACACACACACACACACACACAAAACCTAACCAAATAAAAGATTAACTTTTCTTTGACCTATCCAATCAACAAAGATCGTTTCACCATTGGTAAAAGTACAAGGAAATGAACACTCTAACTGCTGGTGAGGTACAATATTTAGTGGAGCAATCAAAATGTTTTAACGTTCACAACCTCTGACCTAGTTCCACTTACAGGAAACCACAAGTGTACAAAATAATTTGTGTATAGAAATGTTTGCTGGCCCTGGCCAGTTTGGCTCAGCGGTTACAGCGTCGGCCTGCGGTCCGGAGAGAACCACGTTCGGTTCCCGTTAAGGGCACATACCACGGTTGCAGTTTGTCCCCGGCCCTGGCTGGTCGTGTGGGTGGCAGCCACTCGATGTGTCCCTTTCACATCGATGTTTCTCTCTCTCTCTCTCTCCCTCCCACTCTATCTGAACAAAATATCAAAAAAATGTGCTCGGGTGAGGATAAAAAAAAAAAGAAAGAAATGTTTGCTGCAAGCACCTCTAGAAAATAAAACTGAAATACTTAATATCCAACAATAAAAGACTGATATAGAGTGGAATACTGTGCAATTACTAACCATATTGTAGAACAGTCCTGGGAAAATGATTACTGTGAAATAAAAAGAAGTGGATGACAGAACATCACATGTCATTTTATCAGTTAGAGAGATGTATGTATATCTATCCGTCCATCTCCTCAGCAGCCACTTCCAGATTCTTTCCCTATTACTAACCTACCTCCAAGATGGTAAACCCAGTACTTTCTGTTTCAAATGTCTTTCATATGGAAATTCGAATATTCTAGTACCCTCTAACAACCGCCCCTTTTCTTCCTTTTATTATCAATTTATTAATTTATATCCACTGCTTCTAAAATGTTTGTAATTTATAAAATGCTTTCAACACATGTATTAACTCATTTGATTCTCAAAACCTCAGAATTTGTATTGTACTTTTTCAAGGTGAGAAGAGATCAGAGACTGGCTTGTCCAAAGCCTTATTACTTTGACTCAGAGACTCGAACTTCAGTAAAATGCTTTCCTTCCTACCAGTCAACCCTTTACCATCCAAAACTACTCTCTCAAAGAGCCTATTGCTTTGTTTTACAATGACCTAATCAATCTGTTTACATTTCAGCTTTACTAAACCAAAAGTTTTAATCAAAGAGGGCAGGCCTAAACCTTAAGTGTTATAAATTTTTAGTAATACCAAATAACCTTTGAACAGAAAAACAAACTGATGAGTTCTGCTGATATTTTATTTAGAAAAACAGATAACACTAAAACCACAAGATTTTAATTTTTTTCTTTTAAACATGACACTAATTAGATGTACAATAGTCCTGAATAATAAAAATATATTTACACACTTAAAATAAATATAAAGTAACTGAAGGATGACTTATCCAATGATTCACTTTGCATTTCCACTGTTCACCTTTTGTTTCATCATTTTTCTTTGCCTTTTGTAAACCCTTTTCTTTCTTGCTTTCAAATCGACTTTTGGCTCTGGTTTTACCCACTGTATTTCTATCGGTTTTTCCTCAGCTGGTGTAACAAAAACATCCGCAGTGGGATCATGTGGAAGAATAGTCTTTGGTTCTTTCTTTCTCAGTTTCTGTGCCTCTTTAACTTGCTGTTTCTCTTTGTATTTTGCAGCTGTGATGGATCTTATGACACGCCGATGCTAGAAACAAAAAACTGTATTAGATGTTTTTGGAATATGAACATTTTATATATGGTGGCAAAGACATTAACTTATGAACCTATTTCCTTTAAGCCTGGGTCATTAAAAAAAAAAGTAATTTGCAAGACTATGCATCAAAACCCAAATTCACCTTCACAGTTAACAGAATAGTAATTACTTGACAAAATTATTTTGGCCAGAATTTTGGAACATGAAGACCACTAAACAATAAAATCAGCTTACCAAGTTTGGTGACTGGTAGTGAGGATTTTCGTATAAAGTTGGTCCTCCAAAACTTCCCTGGAAAATTTTTATGAGATTTAAGACAAAACGAGGTCCTATTTCTACGAGAGCCGCATCTTCTTCTATGATCTTGAATAAAAAGAAAAAAATCTCATTTTGGTTTGGATATACTACTCCTAAAAGGTCTATGGGCTATAACTTCATTACAAATGTGCCTTAAAAACTGAAAATACAATTAAGGTGGAGGTGAAACTTGGCAAGTGCCGAATGATCAGTATACTTCCTGAACTGTATTGGTTACAGTAGTTGTCATGAGCAAATACAAAGGTTTTTCAGCATGTTTTTTTAAAACTGAGTAACTTGAATTTGGTTCCCATCTTGCTTCTCACGATGCATGGATTCTTGAAAACCTGTGGTTAAAATGTTTTTAAAACTGCTACTATAACACAGTGTATTAAAATATACTACAGGGAACCCTTTAAAATTTTAAGTCAACACCTAATTCAAATGAAAGTAACGGTATATAAAAGTATAGTATGTGGTTAAATTTATTTTTGAATGGTTACTGATTGAGGCAACTTCTGAACTACAAATATTAACATTGTATATTGGTTCAGATGTCTGCCCTCAAAGGTTAAGACGGGAATAAGTTGAACTCCCTTTGCAAGGCATCCAATGTAACACATGAAGAGCCCAGTTCGCTGCACATACTGTCTGAAATTTTGTCTTGATGTTCTTTTCCACCTTTCCACCTCTCTGCAAATTTATTATTATCCTGCCAAATTCTGTCTTCAACACTTCCAAAATCACTTTTCCCCCTGAATGAATCTCTGTATGACTCACCTACTAGTTCTCATTACATGCCTTCTTCTACAGATGTTATGTTTTTCTAAGTCTTAACACCGCCCCCACCAGGCAGATTCTAACTTCAAGAGAGAAGCTTACATTTTACTATATCCTTACAGCACCTAGCACAAATTTGGAACTCAATTACTGCATGGATATTTAGACTATTTCCTTTTTAAGAAACTAAATATATAGTAAACATACAGTGGCACTGTTGGTCCTAATTTATTTCAAATTATAATAAAAAATTAATTAAAGCCAACCTGAAAGTTCCGAAACCAGATCCTATTATCCAGAACAGTGAAAGTAAACACGTGGTCCACAAATGGCTGGCTTTTGGGGTGATACCGTGGTGTACTAAAAATCTAGTTTAAAAATAAAAAAATATGTTAGTTACTTATTCTATGATCCAACACGTTTTAGTTTTAGATGGCCGTTAAGAAAAAATCCAAAGAAGATACCTATTTATAATATATTACCAAAAATACTTTCTAGAAAATATATTTACCTGAATTAAGAGTTCTTTTAACAAAGCATAATGTGGTAATTCATCAAAAGCCTAAAAAATAAAGTGAACATATTATTTGACTACAGCAAAGTGCTTTGTTTAAAACTTTTTATGTTAATTAAATTGAATCATATAACTAGATCCATGAGAAACCACCATGCAGAGTAAGAATGTTAGACATCATACACTAAATGAAAAACTTACCGGGTCAAAAGACAAAAGGGGCCGAGAACCTTTCAAACAATTTCCAGTCATCTTTAGTTCAGCGAGGGTATGAACTACAAAAATTATAACAACAAAAATAGTTATAAATTTGGCACAATTATCCTAAAAGGTTTATAATTTTCTCATAAAATTTTTAATTGAGTCAACTTACTATTCTGAACTAGGAATTTAGCAGATGGTCCATGAGGTGAATTTGAAAGCCTGAAAAATATGAAGAAAGCTTTTTCCATTAATTAAAATTTAGAATGTAGCAAATGTTTACTTTCTATTTATAGTTAAAAGAGATACTATAATGTGCTCATAACATTCATATATTTAATTTTCTTTAAAAGTTTTAATTTTTGTAAAGTCAATGAAGTTTATTTTATCCCCTCCCCTGGCCCTGTTGTTTTACAAAAATAAATAAATAAATAAGCTGAAAGGAGTCTATAAACGGTACAAAGAATAAATCCATTTAAAAGAACAAGATCCACCCCAATCTTACTTAATACATTCTCTTACCACATATAGAGATCTTGTTTCTTCTTGGCTTCAAAATAGATACATTTATTGCAATTTTTCATTTCACAAACCTAAATGAGCAATGTATAGAAAAAAATGAAGTATATAAAATAAGATCTAAAGCAACTCAATACAATTAATAGCTACATTCTTCCAAAAATATTTAAGTAGATAAATGAGCTACAAAAGTCTAAATCTAGGTATTTATTCACAGAAATAAACCTTTAAACTGCCCAAGGTAAACTAGATTTAATCTCTTTGGTGTAAACATCTATTCTTTCTGGCCCAGCATTTAAAAGTAAACTGGGCTCCCTTCCAATTACCAAGAACCTCTTCCTCTGATCAGTCCTGTATACAAGCTAAAAAGACTGAAAACAGGTGCCCCAGGAATAAAGCACACTATAATTAGTCCTACTGCTCTTTGGAAAATACAGTCCTTATATAACCAAACACATCCTTTATAATTGTTATTCTGATTTTTAATGCTTTCTTTTATTATTTTAAGATGAAGAAGTCCCCTCCCCCCACCCCTCATTTATACTATCATTTCTGTGGTTTAGTTCTGTAAAATCACTAAGGGATTGTTGAAAAGCAGAAGCGTACAAATCCTATTTTAGGTTGAATTAAACTTCACCATCGTGAAGGTTTACAAAGTCACACTTGAGAAATATACAAAAAGAATAGAAGAATAAATTCCTATATAGTATTCATAAACTATCTGACATATTATTCATAAACTCTAAATTTTAAATCTAACAACTTAAAAAATTCGCAGGTCTAATACTTTTGTTCCTTACTGGTCTTAGAATAAACACAGCAACACTACATTGACTGTTTCCCAGTCCAACCTCAGCGGCTGGAAACCCTGCTTTATTTCTCTTGTATTCACTGTATTCTAATGCGTGTGCATGGCCTGCCTCCCTTCGCAGAATATAAGCTCCACAACAGTGGAGTTGTGTTCTGTAGAACAGTTTCCACAGCACGTAATGTCATGATAGAGCAGAGGTTCAAAAATCTGTGCTAAATGAATAAAAACTTAATAGCTGAAGAAAATTATTTTTAACAACACTTTGAAAATTTAACCTCACAACTACTTTGTAATACCATAAAAGCAAGTACTACATGTATCACTTAATAATAGTGACAAAAACGCTCTTTATAATGTGGGGCTTTAAAAATATTTAATGAGTTCAGTTTTATCTTACATATGTTCCCTGATCATTTTTTATATGTATCCAAGTATGCATTTCACACTACACTACACTACACATAATGAGAAAATGAATGAGCCACAGTCTTTGTCAAGAAATCGACATGCTTGCTGAAACAAGATAAATATAAAAACAATCAAGAAATAATACATACTGAAGCACTAAACTGTAAGATGTAGACAGTGAGTACTACAAAAATTTAGAAGGTAGGTTATTGAGGATTTAATAATATCTGTCTTGAGTATCTTTTATAAAACGTAAAAGTCATTGAATAACTGACTTTTTAAATTTAAAAGGAAGTATCCTTACTGTTGAGAGTATTACAGTCGTCCCCCAATTCTTCCCTCATTAGCCCCCTCCACCTGTTTCCTGCCCCAACCCCAGACCTTCACCACACTATTTACTGTCTGTATCCAAGCATGCATATACGCATGTTAAGTTCTTTGGTCCATCTCTGCAGGCCCCCTCATCCCCTTCCCTCTGAGATCCATCTGTAATACTCTCAACAATAAAGATACATTTTTAAAAAAAGTGTCTTTAATGTTCCAAAATATTGTTCCTAAATACAGTGTTCCCAGAATATTTTACTTTACTTTCTAAAATTACCTCATTAATCACAAATAACTTATCTTTACGATCCATTTTAGTATCTATAAAAAGAAAAGAAAAAGCAAGTAAACAAAAGATTTCAGAGCACCTTCAATCAAATCACACATGCTTTCTAGAAAATTATTTCTAAAGTGTTTTTATAATCTAGTTTAATGAGATTTAATATCCAAATGACTAGATCTGAAAACACATGACTTCTTAAAAATCTTGATTCTTTTTAAATGTAAAAATGAGTAATTAGCACTGGCAGGTGGCTCAGTTGGTTGGAGTATTGTCCTGTCCACCAAAAGATGGTGGGTTTGACTCCCAGTCAGAGCACATACCCAGGTTTCAGGTTCGATCCCTGGTCAGATGCAAGAGGCAAGCATTTGATGTTTCTTACTTCAATGTTTCTCTCTCTCTCCCCTCCTTCCTCTCTAAACAAACAAATAAAAAGAGTAATTAAAAATAGTCTTCGAGAATTGTAAATAGTGATCTAAGCAGTGTTTCCTCAGACTTTATGTATTTTGTGACTCCCTTTCAAAAACAGAAAAAAATCTCACAAATAAACACTATGTTCTAGACTCCAGTTTAAGGAACACTCAAACACAAATTTAAAGTGATGAAAATTTCTTGTAATTATGAATTACAATTGCCAAAAGAAACCAGTGGAAAAAAATGGTTTTAGAGTATCATAGGAAGAAAGAAAACTGATAGAAATGACAATTTCTCTTACTAGTTTCGGAAATCTGAAGATGTAGCAGCAGACCTGAGATAGAAACACCGATCTAAAGAACTAAGTTATTGCCTGGCTGGTGTGGCTCATTGGTTGAGTGTCGACCCATGCACCAAGAGGTCCCTAGTTCGATTCCCAGTCAGGGCACATGCCCAGGTTGTGGGCCCGATTCCCAGTGGGGGGCATGCAGGAGGCGGCCAATCGATGTTCTCTCTCATCAATGTTTCTATCTCCTCTCCCTCTCCCTTCCTCTCTAAAATCAATAGAGAAAGAAGAAAGAAAGAACTAAGTTACTACTAAGAATTAAAACCAAAATCATCTCCCAACACAGGCATAGAAACAGCTCCATGATGGCACTGCCAACAGTTCCAAACTTAAAAGTAGACCTTCTTCAGTTGCCTGTAAGATACCTCATTGCTAAAAACATTAGCTTGGCACTGAGGAGACTGGGCCCCAACTTAAAGGTGCCTGAAGTCCTACACCAGGTCCATTAATTTTTAGATAAGAACAGTTTTTGTTGTTTGTTTTTGTAATGTAGAAAGCAGTACATGGCAGCCTGAATCATTTAAAAGGACAAGCCATGACCTCTGAGAGCGTTATTACAATAAAGGCATTTCAGTAGGCAAGAATGTTTCAGTAATCAGGACATCTGTTTAAGAAAGTAAAGAAGCCCTAGCCAGTTTAGCTCAGCGGTTGGAGCGTCGGACTGCAGTCAAGAGAGACCCGGGTTCGGTTCCTGCTAATGGCATGTACCTCGGTTGCAGTTTGTCCCTGGCCCTAGTTGGGTCATGTGGGTGGCAGCCACTCGATGTGTCCCTTTCACGTCGATGTTTCTCTCTCTCTGTCTTCCTCTTTCTCCCTCCCACTCTACCTGAACAACAACAACAAAAAAAGAAGAAAGTGAAGAAAATGTTTAATAAATTTTGTAAAGAATTCCTGACAAAATTTTCACTGGAAAAACCTTAGGACTGAAAAGATACACTTCTGCAAAAGAGTAGTGGTTCCTTCCTCACAAGACTGAAAAAATTAAGTGTGACATGAAGTGGAAATATATAAGTAAATCTATAAACATAAACTTTAAAGTATGACATAAAGGTACCTGCTTTAGAATGAGGCATCAACATTCTTAAATCTTGCATTAAATGTCTTGTTCTGAAATTTATTCCTCTGGAAGAAAAGATGAGAATCCGCTCCTTATTTTTCCATTTGCCCTAAAGAAAAATAAAATGTTAAAAGATTTTTAAATCTCTCAGAGAACCTACCTTTTTTGTTTAAAATAAAGCTTCCAAGTAGCAAGCCAAACAATCCTCACCTAAACCTTTAATTCAATCTCTCAGTAGTATTCACTGACCCCAACTGTCACCAAGAAATGCTCTTTGGCATCCTTCCCTTTTTGTTTTTCTTCAGTCTCTCCAATTCCTCTTCCTGACTCAAGAGTCTTTCTTATTAGCCTCTTTTAGTTTTGTTCTCTCCAGGAGAGTTCTCATCATCATTCCCATAGTCTCAACGGTCAACGCTACAAAAAGGTAAAGACTCCCCAGGCCTGCTAATCTCGAATTCAATTCTAAAATACTAAAACTAAACCTGGTAAAGTTCCTTGTTATTTATTTTTCTGATGTCACCATCATTTCAGTCCCCCAGACTTCGAATCTTTCATTTGCCCTTATTCTCTCATATAATAAGTACTACTTACTAAATGTAGTCAATTTCCTTTGCAACAGCCTTTAATCCTTTCCTATTCCCACTGCCCTCCTTCAGATCCTTATAATCCTGTATCAGCTGCAAATCTAAATGGCTCACCCTCCCAGCAGGAGACCCTCCAAGATGTGGCTGACTAGTACCAGCTTAATCTTAAAAGGCACAGCTCCGATCACATCCTACCTCCCAAGTTTTTCAAAGTCCAAAATGAAATAGCTTTAACACTGGATTCTAAAATACATTTATATTTTCACTTCAAATTGTCCCAAGTCAACCCTACACTTTAGACAATCTGGCTGTTTTTAAATTTTTCAGCATTTCGCCCTGGCCAGTTTGGCTCAGCAGTTAGAGCGTCGGCCTGCGGTCCGGAGAGACCTGGGTTCGGTTCCCGCTAAGGGCACGTACTTCGGTTGCAGTTTGTCCCCGGCCCTGGTTGGTCGTGCGGGTGGCAGCCACTCGATGTGTCCCTTCACGTCGATGTTTCTCTCTCTCTCTCCCTTCCTCTCTCTCCCTCCCACTCTATCTGTACAAAAAAATGGAAAAAATATCCTCGGGTGAGGATTAAAAAATAAAAATAAAAAAAATAAATAAATTTTTCAGCATTTCCCACACTTCAACATCTCTGATCAGTTTTCTCTCTCCCCCCTGTATTGCTCCCTCTCATTTTTTAATATCAAAATTCGGCCCCTATTTTGAGATCCAACTCAAAGGCTAAATAATTCCTTCAAGATCCCTTACCCTATTATCCTAAAGTAAAAGCAATCTCTATCTTCTGCACTTAACTAGAATTTTTCATATCATGATATTATTTTTTTCTAGGTCCTAAGGGAAGAGGGAGAGCACTAACATTTACTGAAAATCTATTAGATTCGCCCTGGCCGGTCTGGCTCAGCAGTCGGAGCATCGGCTTATAGACCAGAGAGTCCCGGGTTCGGTTTCCGCTAGGGCACGTACCAAAAAATAAAATAATAACAATAACAACAATAATAATGATGAAAATCTACTGGATTCATCACACAAAGTTGATCACCTTTCCTTCCTCTTAATATGTAGCTGAGAAAAGAGCTAGAAATCTCGCTGTTAATTAATAGCGAGGCTAGAATTTAAACTCATCTGCCATTCCTCCCAGCGAATCCCTTCCTAGTGCTTGCCACCACACCACACAGGGTCATTTGCTTATCACTTACTAGGCACTACAGTAATACGCTAAGCTGGGGGGACACAGAAATTAATAAATCAAAGGTGCTCCTTGTCTGCAGAGTATTACATCTACCTTAGGGAGCTCTCAGTGGAATGACAGGTTGTTATTCGTGTTCAACTTTTTTTGGATAAAAACCACCAACTTATATGAATTCTTGGTTTCCTTCTAAACTCCAACATTTCAGGAAAAAGAAAGAGGTCGCATTCTAGTTTTGCAATCCCAAAACAGGGGAAACCTAACTTCGTACAGTACCTGACACGTCAAAAGCTTGTTGAATACAAGTAAAACATCCCAACTTCTGTTACCCTTTGAGAGTTAAAAATCAAACAAGTCCGCACTGGCCGGGCGGCTCGGTTGATTGGAGCGTCACCCCTACACCAAAAAGGCGGCGGTTTGATCCCCCTCGGGGGTGTAAGGGAGGCAACCGACCTGTTTCGCCTCAATGGTCTCATGTCCACCCCCCCCCCCCTTCAAAATCAACAGAAACATATCCTGGCGTGAGGATTAAAAAAAAATTCAAACAAATCAAACTCACAGTCCAAGGACGGCAACTTTTTACAGCACCACATGACAAGCCTCAGGACCCCCGACGGACAACAGTGGACTGTGGCAGAAATGGGGATACTAAGCACCGTTAGGGGGTCTATTCAACAGCTAGAAATGACGTGAAGGCGGGGGCCAGAAAACAGAACCGTGGAACCGAGTTCTCCGCGCGTGGGTTTCCGCGCGCCAGGTAAGAGCTCCGAGCCCGAACCCCCGGGGGGCAGCCACGTGGGGTAGACGTACACGCGGCGACCAGTCCGGCCGAGAGCTGAAACCGGGCCCCTGTAACACCGGAGCAACCCGGAGAGCCGCGGAGCCGTCATTAGACAGGCAACCCCAGGGAAAGCGCACGAGGCCGCGGCCGCAGGCGAACGCCAGGAGGAGCCCCTCTACCTTGCAAACAGGGCCTGGGATGCGGTCTCTGTCTCCTTCCTCCGCCTCCTCTGCCTTATCGCGCTGTTTAGCGGGAGGCCTGGCACCTTTTTCGCTCCTCCTCTGCCTCTTCGCCTGGACAGCCAAGCCTCCATGCCGCTTCCTCTTGGTGGCTGCCATCTTGCCTCGCTGCCTCCACGCCTGGCCTTCCTTCCGGCGCTGCCGCTCTCTCCCTCTTCCGACCTCTATGGTACCGCGCGCTCAGCTCTGGGTCCTCCTCCAGCTCTTCGATGCCTCCTTCCGGTCTCTGTGGTACTGCACGCTTGCCTCTCTAGGCCTCGTCTCGCTCGGTGGTGACGGTGGCCGAGGTGGCCGGGCGATCTGAAAAGTTTGGCGGGAGCTGTTGCGCTTCCTCCCTTTTTCTCCGGGAGCAGCACCTCGCCTCCCCGGTGGCCTGGCTGGGACGGACTCTCAGGCGTCCGGACCCCACCGCGAAGGTAGGGTTTCCGCGCCCTGGGACCGTGGGGCCAGTAAACGGATGCTGCGCGGCGGGCTGGTGAAACAGGTTGTCTGGGACTCCAGGCGGACCTGAGGAATCGGGGCCCGGCCCCCCACCGCCGGCTCTGTTAATAGGCAAGGTGGGGGCGCCGGCCAGCTCACACCGATTCCGTAGGGATACGCGGGCCCAGTTCGACGTGGCGACGCTGGCCTCAAGGAGAACGCCCTTAGTGGTTGCCTCTTTTCGTGGTTCACAACTTTGTGTGTCCCTGTCTTACAAGTCGAGGAAACCGTGAGTGGTCTCCCCAGCTACGGAGCGTCCAGGGGCCGCGCTGGGGCGCCGCCCGGCCGGCCAGGCCCCGCGCCCGGGCCCTCCCGTCCCGGCGCTGACCCGCCGCGTCTCCGCAGGTGCGCGAGGTGGGCGCGAGCAGGCGCGGCCGGCGGACGATGCCGCTCATAGCCCAGCCGGCCCCGGCCGAGAGTGACTACAGCTTGGTGGCCTGCCTCGACAACGTCAGGAACCTCTCCACCGTCCTGAAGGCCATCCACTTCCGCGAGCACGCCACCTGCTTCGCCACCAAAAACGGGATCAAGGTGACAGTGGAAAATGCGAAGTGCGTGCAGGCGAATGCTTTCATTCAGGTGTGTAAGCCGGTGACGTGGATGGTCCTCGCCGGTTTCACGAATTCGAAGGTCTTCGTAGATTTGGTTTTTGTTTTTGTTTTCTCTCTCTCCTGGTAACAGATTCTTGTCCCGTGTTGTTTTACAGAGATCACAATAGGAAGTGATCATGTCTAAGGTTTATGAAGAGTTCAGGCACTCTTGTGAATGTTTATATGTTTAACTCATTTAACCTTCACCGTAGCCTTGAGGGAGGCTCTGTTATTCCCCTCTTACAGATGTGGAAACTGAGGTGCAGTGTAAGTGGCTGGCCAGCAGCCCCACGGCTTCATGTAGCTGAGTCGGGATGAGAACCCAGAACATTTCATTTGTTTCCGGAGTACATGCACTTTACCACTACCTCCTTTATAAAAAAATATTTTTTTCCTTTTGTTGGTTATAATCTATTTGTTCTTACAAAGTCATATCTGCATGGTTCACATTTCAGGTTTAATTTAGCATGTTTTTGAACACCTAAGTGCGTAGTATGACCTCAGGGACAAATAAGACATGGTTCTTGTCCTCAAAAGAAAATGAAAACTACCATCACTCATGCATTATCAAATTGTTTGGCTATTTTCCTCTTGCCCTTAGCTGTACTGATGGCCCCAAAAAGGAGAAGGGAGAACCACGTGGGGGATAGTTTAGATCCAAGAAACTAGATGAAGGACCCATCATAAAGTTTTACACGGAACCTAAATCCCTGTGACACCGGTAACCATTGACTAGTGTTTACTCTAATGGATGACAGTTGGAAAACCTTAAGATGTGATTGATAATCAGAAATTATGTTCATGGGGTTAGCATAATAATTGTTTTTTTAAAACATATAAAGTAAAATCTGGAACCTTATGTGTGAAATCTCATTCTTTAATATTCTTATTTTTTCATGTTTACCTTTTTTTCATAGGCTGCAATATTTCAAGAATTTAAAGTTCAAGAAGAACCGGTTACTTTTCGAATTAATTTAACTGTTCTTTTAGACTGCTTATCTATTTTTGGATCAAATCCTATGCCAGGTGAACCATTTAATTATTATTATAATGACATAAAAGCATTATACAGAATGGTCAGAAAAATACAGGAAAAGTTATTAGAATATAAATACTATAAGCATTTCTTTAGAAAATGAATTACCAATTCATTTGGGGGTCACAAGCATGATTTCTGACTTTTTTGGATGAAATCAAATATTATAATATTAGTAGAAAGTGTGCTTATGGTTCTTTTCATATTTGCAAAAGTATTTACATTCATCTTTTTTTTAACTTAAAAGCTTTTAAATTTGAATTGATCAAAAGACTTTGAACTTGTCTTAAATATCTTTAACATTGTGAAATGTCGTAACTGCTTCTTTCCCCTAACTGGTCCAGAATTACATTTAGTGGTAGAGCAAAACAGAAACCTGTTCTCCTGACTCCCCATTTACTGCATTAAAAAATGTTGCCCCTCTCTTTTTTTCATTACCTCCTGTTTATAAATTATGTCTATTTCCCTAAAAGCTTTCCTTTAAAATGCTTATATATTTTATTTGTTTGAGGATTTTTTAGGAATAGGGAATTCAGTTTCTATAGGTATAAAACCACAAGGAATCTCCAAAGGAATGATTTTATTTCATAGGAAAGGATCTGAGATTAGCTAGGGGAAATTCAGTTACGATTCTTTAGAAAATATATTTTGATTTTATACTAACAATTCCATTATTATTAATTATACATTTTCTAATGCAGCTGGTTTTTCATAAAAGCATCTTTCTTCCCCCTTCCTCAGTGTGGCTCACCACCCTTCAGGAAAGGAGAGGAGCTAGACTGTCCTGTCATAGTCCTCTTCCTGCCTAGTGGTTTGCAGTGTTAAAACCCTAACTGCCATTAACCATCCTCTCTTTTTCTCCCAATTTCATCTTAAAATTTGGAGAAATATAAAGAATGTCTCCCAATAGAAAAGATTAGAAGGTTCCTTACCATAGCAAATACACTGACGTAGTACAGACAATACCAAAGCAATCCACTGTTGCACAAATTAGGCCTTCAAGAAATAGCATAGCCTATTCTGCGACAACTCTATGACTTGTAGTATCGGACCTTGTAGACTCTCCATCCTGAAGTTGTGTGTACATATAATCAGTAAGTTATTTCCGAGGTGTTTTGGCAAGTCAGAAAATGATTTCAGAGTTACATACATTTTGTTCCCAATTTTCCTGTAGTTATTTTTGGAATTGTCTCCATACAACTGTCGTCAGGGATCATGGGGTCCTTTCTTATAGAGAAAGACATACATATATGCTAGAAATTGGGCAGAATAAAGTGTTCTTGAGGGGCTTTATGTATCATTTGAGGAGAAGTCAAACCCAGAGCTATACAGCTGAATCATACAGAGTATGGTTTATTTCCATTGCAGGGAATTTAACTGCCCTTCGGATGTGTTACCAAGGCTATGGTTACCCCCTGATGTTGTTTCTGGAAGAAGGAGGAGTGGTGACAGTCTGTAAAATCAATACTCAGGAGCCTGAGGAAACTCTGGATTTTGATTTCTGCAGCACCAATGTGATTAATAAAATTATTCTGCAGTCAGAGGGGCTCCGTGAAGCATTTTCCGAATTGGATATGACAAGTGAGATCCTACAGATCACCATGTCTCCTGACAAGCCTTATTTCAGGTACTTGAAAGCAGTGTTCTTACAGTTAATGTCGTTTATTCCAGCTCCCTACTTAACATTTGCTAAGGATGCAGGACTTACAGTATTATCCAAGGTCCTAGAATTTTCAGAACTTTAGAGAGCTTTTACTCTTATCTCATACTTTTATTGATTAGGACACTTATGACCCAGGAAGATTAACTCACTAGTTAATCTTCATAGTGGGGCAGTGTTGGTTTCTAGTTGCGTAGTCCATTCTCCTAATTCATAAACTAGTGGTCTTTTCATTGTGTTACTTAAACTGTTGTAGATCCAGGCTTAAACGTTTGGAAAAGGTCTTTGTATTTTTTGGTATCTCTTTTCTTTCAACTTAGTACAGGATGCAAAAGGAAGTAGATGTTTTCTATGCATGATTTATTCACTGTGTATCTGCTCGGATCACCTCCTCTGTACATATCTACATTATCAAGCACTACAAGAAGGAGCAGCTTAAAATCAAGGTGAAGAAGAAATACGTGAAATCACATAGAAGGGACAAAACTGCATGGCATTAAGTACCCAAATAAAAGACAGACACTTAGGGAACCAGTACATGAATACTCAGAAACAATTAGTGGAGAGCACTTTTTAGCAGGAATGTATATCGAAACTACCAAACTGCTCCCGATATTTCGACCTAACAAATTACAAAATGGCAAGATTCTTTTTGGGATTAGAATCAATTTAGAGAGAGGACTTAAATATTTCTTCTCTTTTGAAATATTTCAGAACATTGATGAATAAAGGGTTTTTTCATATCTATGTTAGAAGAACTGAAGGCCCTTTTCATGGCATTAGGAGGTTAAAAATTTAGTTCAGGGTCTGTTAAAATGTTAACCAAAATGGAAATCAGTGGAACCCTATTTAAACAGTGATATGAATTTAAATACCAGGCAGTTAAAGTGTTTTAGAGGACCCCACCAAAATGATCTCTGTCAGCACAGGGAGCCGGATGGTTCATGGTTACCTTTCATCCCCACTTCGGGAAATGATTTGGTGGGAGGATTCGAAGTTGACCTCTTTCTGGATGTGTTAAATTTGAGGTGCTATGACACCAGAAAGTAGTTGCATACCTAGATACAGGGCTCAGGAGATCAGTCTAGACTGGAAATTTAAATTTGGGAACCATCATCATGGCTGAGCAGGGATGAGATGGCTCAGAGAAAACAGTTACATTAGAAGAGAGAAAACGTGTCCTGGGGAAAACCAGCACTGAGGTCTTCCATCACTGCTCGAATCGTGCTTACCAACGTGCTGACCCCGTGCAAATCAGTATGTTCTTGCAGATTGAGTAAGCATATAAACATCTGTAAATTGTGTACATACAAGCTATTGATATTACCAATCAAGGAAACCATAAAGCAGCCTGAAGAGTAGTCTGATACACAGAGAAGCTGTGCCTGCTTGGTAGGAGAGGACCCTGGCTTGCAGCTGACGTGGGTCAGGGTCTTCCTCACTCCTCAGCTCTCTCAGTCCTGTTACACAGTTCTGATTTAAGGGTGAGAAATGTCAGTATCAGCGTAGGATTAAGGTAATGAAGTTGAGTCAAACACCTGGATTCCTTTTGGGACTGGTATTTTTCAAAGCTATGTATTGGTTGCTAGTTCCCTGTACTCCCACAGCATCCTGTGGGGATCTTTATTATGGTGGTTGTTACAGTGTATTGTCAACATTTGTTTACATATCTCTTTCACTCACTAGAATGAGTTTCTTAAGGAAGTGTTTTCTTTATTTGGATCCTGATGTGGTTTGTTGGACCAATGAATAAATGACTTCCTCATTTTCTCCTGTAGGTTATCTACTTTTGGGAATGCAGGAAGCTCCCACCTTGACTATCCCAAAGATTCTGATTTGATGGAATCATTTAATTGTAATCAGACCCAAGTCAACAGGTCAGTTTTTAATATAGAGGTTACCATTGGTGATGAAGGGGCGGTTAATACCAAATTTGTATTAAATAAATTTTTTAAACTTTCAATCTGATGATAAAAGTGTAGCATTTTTTTAAAAATGAACAGTAGGTTCTGGGTTTACTTGGGGATTTGGGGTTATACTGGATGAAAATTGTTTTAATGAATAGAAAATATTAGCAAATTGGACAAGTATTAGATTTTATTCTTATATTTGCTATTTGGTAGTTCTTGGCTAATTTTTGTTCTTTCCTTGGAGTTATGAGCACTACTTTATGTGTGTCCAAATAACATCTTTTTATTTACTCTCCTACAGATACAAGATTTCTTTGCTGAAACCCTCTACAAAGGCGTTAGTTCTGTCTTGTAAGGTGTCTATTCGGACAGATAACCGAGGGTTCCTCTCACTGCAGTATATGATTAGAAACGAAGATGGACAGGTCTGTTTTGTGGAGTATTACTGCTGCCCTGATGAAGAAGTTCCTGAATCTGAATCTTAAGTATGACAGTGCTCTGTGACATTTATGTCTACGTGCATTACAGGTCATGTTCTCATTCTCATGATTTTGCCCTGGATTCCAAAGGGAAGAAGCAGGGAGGAGACAGGAGCATGATCTCTGTACCCTAAAGTCACTGTGTACTGTGTAAGGAAATGTTTTCAAGTGGTCATAGAGTATGCAGGACTAGACTATCCTGTGGTTCTGTCTTATGAACTCATGGGAATTATTATGAACCATGATGAATGAATTGTATTTTCTATTCTATTTAAGTAGGACATTTAAAGTTGGTGGAGCCAAATGTGAATGTTCTTTTATTTAGTTACTATAAGAAAAAAGCGAAGGCATATGGGCATTGCTTATTAGTTTGAATTCTGGAGAACATATCTAAAAGCAGTGGTTCTGAAAGTGCTGTGCCCAGACCGACACCCTCAGCATCGCCTAGAAACTTGTCAGAAACTGAGTGGGCCAGCAAGCTGTCGTTGATAAAGCACCCCTCACCCCAGAAGTTCTGATGTAGGCTAACGTTGGAGAACCACTGTGTGAAAGGATACTTTTTTAAAAAAGCATTTAATTACATTGAAGTGGTTGCTTTTCTATGTGATTTCTTCACAAACTTTCTGAAGCTTAGGCATCACCAAACAAGTCTGAATAATTGTATGATTTATTTTTAAAGTATTTATTTTGAAGAAATCTATGCACAAGGTATAAAACAGTCTTCAGAATTCTAGATTTTCTTGTTCTCAAAACTGTTCAGTGTCATAAGTACTTATTAGATTCCTTCTATTTCCCTGTAAGAGTTTCTCAAACTGAGGTGGAGAAAGCCAGTTATTAAGTGATTTTGTATTTCTTGGGTAATTTGCATTGAAATAATTTTGTGGCATGTAGATATTTAATAAAATATAATACGAAAATTATCTGACCTGTGTTCTAGTAGAAAAAATATACATCTAAAATGAAGTTTCTGTACCAGATGACAGCAGTTTCTTATCTCTAGGTGGGAAGGCACCATTGATTGGCCTTTTGGGTGGGACACTTCTTCATGGGAAAAACTCTCCCATTGCAGGATTCATCTAGCCTCCCTAGTCCTTCCTACTAAGGCCAGTCATTGTGACCACCCTTCCCCCCCAAATAAAAGTGGCCCCCTACTGTTGATGGTTGAGAACTGCTCAAGCTATTCACCACAATCAGGGTGTGTTTGGAAGGCCCTACTGTAACTAGGCCGCATGGCGCTCCCGGAGAGCGGTTTGGAGAGGACTGGCCCAGGGCTCTTCAGAGACGGGCTCTTCAGAGACAGGCTCCCCGGGACAGCTGCAGTTCTGTGCGTCAAGCCCAAGGGGAGCACCTGACGACTAGCAGTCTCGGTACCTGGCTTGTACAGAGAAGTCGGAGTTTTGTAAAGTATAGTATATGTTCGAGAAGGAAATGAATAAAATCTAAATGTCCAAATATTTTTTATTTCAATAAACACCAAGAACAGAAAAAATTAAAACATAATTATGACACCATTTAATCTGCCAACCTTTCAAGGACTATTTTCCTTTAAATTTAAAATAATGCAGTTATTTTTGTATTTTGTTCACTGGTATATCCAGTATCTAGAAAAGTGCCTAGTATAGAATAGGCATTCCATAAGTATTAGATGAGAAAACCTCCACTTTCAGATTATTGTTTAGCATCTTATTAGTTACTGTTTATTTCCCATAATTTAGTTCTGAATTTATTTTGATCTAATGTATTTTTTAAGTTGAATCTATGAAGAATTTAAAATATAAATTAACTTATTAAGAAAAGATTGCCATTTTTGCACAAAAAGTATCGTTTTAGCTGCATCTTTAGCTACTTAGAATTCAGAAGCTAATGAATTCAATTCTTTTTAAATCGCTCTAACGTCGAGGTACTGATTTAATAAAGAATTTCCTATTTATATGTGTTGTATTTGACCTGGGAATTGACTAGGTTAACTTTCTTCTAGTTCCTATGAAAGATCACTAGGGGGAGTGTTTCCTCAGACAGCAAGGATGCTTTGGAGACTACAAATTTGCACCCGATATAGAAAAGCATAACCTTATTCTTAAGACCTTTAATTTTGCCTTTTTGAAGTTTATTTTATTTCCTTTTTGGTAAAATTGTGCTTACTGTGAATGGGTCAGTACTTTTTTTTCATTTTTAATTTGTTTATTCCCTATTTGATGAGGTGCTTCCACCCAGAATGGATAAAATGATTCAAAATAATAAAAATAAAATAATTTGGCCCTGGCTGGTGTGGCTCAGTTGATTGGGCGTCGTCCTGTGCACCAAAAAAGTTGCCAGTTCAATACCCAGTCAGGGCACATGCCCAGGTTTTGGCCCCATCCCCAGTAGGGGAAGTGCAGGAGGCAGCTGACCAATATTTCTCTCCCTCTCCCCTCTTCTCTCTCTAAAATAAAATAAGAGCATTGAAAATAAATAAATAATGAAATAATTTGTTAACTTCTCCTTTTTATAATAAAAATAAGTCTTGTAACAAGCATTTTATAAGAAGCCTGGGAATTTCTATGGTGTTATCAAGCAGTCCTCGTAGGAATTAGTTACATCTGCTAAAAGGGCAGCACCTGGCATTCCCAGCATGCCCTTCCTACTCGCCTTCGCTGTCTCCACACTGCCTGTTCCCTGTCCCCGCCTGAAACAGTATGTTTTGGGTCCTGAGAACTGGGAAATTGTGTAGTCTTTCCCCCCGGTTATATATCAGATGGTGTTTGTATACATGTGCTAGCTTACATGCACCCCCGGCAGCAGTTGGCAGCCCCACCATGGAGTTCCCGCTCCAGGCGGGGCGGCAGGTGTTCTAACCAGAAGTGCAGGCGGCTGTCATCCATACACAGTGCTTCTGGTCTCCATACCCTAGTCACCCCAGAGGCTTTGGTAGCACAGCAAATGTTCAAAGTTTTGAAATTAATAGTTTTTTGATCAATATAGCAGATAGTAGTGGCTCTTACTGGTAAAACTACAAGTATTCAGGGTATGTGAACTTACTAAATTATTTCAGTGGTTCCTCATCCTTGCAATGAAAGGAGATAAGAATCTAGTGAGGCCTGTAGCCTGTACCCTTAGCCTGGGGCCTGAGTTGCCCCCTAAGTGGTCTTGCTTCCTACCATTTTTTCCAAGGATTTCTGGTTGCTTCTTGTTGACTGGATAAGACAATCCCATCTCTGGAATATTATGAAATTTGCCTTAAATGGACTTTTCCTGGAGAGTGGTGAGTGAATTGCGAAACGGAGGTAAGACCTCACTGTGCTTACAGAATAGGTTGCCTAAGTTTTTCTGAATGCTTGCTAATGTTTATTAAAACCACTGTGTGGAACAGTTTGATCGGGGCTTGGGTTTTTGTGTGTGTTTTTCTAACTTGGCACCAAGGTTGTGGGACAATAGCTAACCGGCATCCACCTTGAAAATGTCAGTGCTGTTCTTGTGTATGACCACAGTGGCTCAGCTTGGTTAGAAACGTTGGGTCGGATTATCCTGATTGCTCGTTCCCACGGAATGGATGGGAAGGAACTTGTTCCCGTCTGCAGTTTCCCGTGAGAATGCAAATTTACATCAGGTTGTACTGTGCTGAGCATTCTAAAGTGCTTTCTTAAAATGGGGGATTTCGCAAAATTTTAAAACTTCTGGGACCAACATAGGTGCCACCTTATTATCTTCTCATGTATGAGGATATTAAAACTATCCTATTCTGCCCTGGCCGGTTTGGCTCAGAGGTTAGAGTGTCGGCCTTTGGTCCAGAGAGACCCGGGTTCGGTTCCCGCTAAGGGCATGTACCTCGGTTGCAGTTTGTCCCCGGCCCTGGTCGGTCGTGCGGGTGGCAGCCACTCGATGTGTCCCTTTCACATCAATGTTTCTCTCTCTCCCTCCCTCCCACTCTATCTGAACCAAAAATGGAAAAATGTCCTTGGGTGAGGATAAAAGAAAAAGAAAAAAAAAAAAACTATACTATTCATTGTCAAGACCATTTCACAAAATATTTTAACATCAACATTTCAGAAAATGAACAGTTGACAATAAGAAAAACTAGAAATACAGTCAAACCTCAGTTCTCAAACACCTCCCATCTCGAACAATTCGTTTTTCAACCAAGGTGTTCACAGAAAAATGCCTCAGTTGTCGAACAAAACCAGTTCTTGACCTCACAACTCTTTTATGCTGATGCCTGTTGCTCAGTCACTCATCCCTCAGGTGACAAACAGAATGTGCAAGGATGAGTCGGTTTACTGTTAACCCACACTGTTAACATCTCAGGAAATTGTGCTGCGAGTGTTTTCTTCTTTGCTTTTGTTGCTGCTGCTTATTATTAAATATGCACAGTGAGTCACCACGGGTCCCAAGAAGGTTAGTGATAGCAGCAAAGCCAAAAGGAAAGTTGTGAGAATAGGCTTAGAAGTATACTAGAGGTGTTCGAGCATCTGACCATTTTTGTTGTTAGATTTTCATTTACATTTCATGTCCTTTTTGTTTTTAAAGTGTTTATACATGAAACAGTACATTAGACACGTACTGCAAATAAGAAAGGTTAAAACGGAATCATTTAGGGGTCTGGATGGGTTAATTCAATTTACATTCTTTCTAATGGGCATATGCCCTGACCAGGAATCGAACTAGGACCTCTCAGTCCATGAGACGAGGTTCAGTCCACTGAGGCACTCCGGATGGGCAAGAATCGCTTCTTGAACAGCCTTCCAGAATGAATTAAGTTCGAGAACCAAGGTTCCACTGGAGTAAAAACAAAGTTCAAATGCAAGAACAGGGTTACGCCATAAAACTGTATTTTAAATGTTATCCTTTATGCTGTTTTAGTGATATAGGCTTGTCAGTTTGGAGATCTTAAGACTTTGGGATCTTACAAATAGTAAAATTTTTAAATCTTTTAGTGCCACCCAAATGGAATCTGAATGGCCACTTTCTCTGGTACTTTGTTTTTATCACAGTCACTGCTGAAAATTCATTTTCACCTGAACATGTGAAAATGGAAACAACTCTTCTAAGGCTATTTTAGTCGGTTCAGAGTGGTCTGGGTAAGGACAGCAGTCCGATCTCCAGACAGGGCTAAAATTAGTAGTGACATTCTGGGTGGTCAGTTAATAAGCAGAGGTCAATGGAATACAACTCCCTTCAGCAGAGACCTTGGTCCTGCGTGCTGAGCCTAACGCATTCTGGGAAGTACGTAGGGGAGCTCAGCACTGCCAGGAGCAAGC